TTAAGCTAATATATACTTAATATAATTTGAAAGGGAAATACCTGGTATGTCAATGAATCTCAACACAATTTTTTGGGATGAAAAATAAAATCAAGACTTTTTCTAAGAGAAAATAGATGTGATTAGGAAGATTGCACAGTAAGAATGACTTATCTAATTGTATTACACGGTGTGTATCTTCTTCATACCCCATCCCTGCCTCCCTTCCATCTTTTCTACTTTTTTTCTAATAATTACTTTAAGAATTTTTAAACAAGTTATGCACCAAGATTTTTTTCAAGGTGCATATGTTATAAGACTTAAAACAAAATCATTGTATTCCTTCTGCCTTAATTTTCCTGATTCCCACTAGATCTCCTCAGGAATAGTTACATTTGAATATTTTTTTCTCTGGCATTTCCCATCTATGTTTCTTTTCTAAAGATTTATTTATTTTATTTAAAAGGAAGAGTTACAGAGAGGCAGAGACAGAGAGGTGGGGGGGGGAGGGAGAGAGAGAGTTCTTCCATCCTATGGTTCACCCCCCAGATGGCTGCAACAGCCAGAGCTGTACCAATCCAAAGCCAGGAACCAGGAGCTTCTTCTGGGTCTCCCACATAGGTGCAGGGTCCCAAGCACTAAGGCCATCTTCTACTGCTTTCCCATGCCATAGCAAAGAGCTGAATAGGAAGTGGAACAGCCGGGACTCCAACCAGTGCCCATTTGGGATGCTGGCACTGCAGCCCAGGGCTTTAACCTGCTGTGCCACAGCACCAGCTCCCACATACTTACTTTGATTTGTATCCTTTGCTAACTATTTTCAACTACTTTTCCGCATAATTCTCCACACTGCTGATGTCATCGGATAATGTAAATATTACAATTATTTTCACTTATTTGTTTTTATTTATTTGAAAGATCGAAAGAGAGAGAAATACAGAGACAGAAATAGAGAGAGAAAGCGAGAGAGAGCACTCGGGTCAAAACCAGGAACCCAAAATACCATCCAAGTCATCCATTTGGATGACAGCTATCCAAGTACTTGAGCCATCATGCCTCATAGGGTGCACATTATAAGTTTGATACAAAGTGAAATTATCCATAGGAGACTACAGTAAGACTATAGCTTATTGGCCAAAGTAAGTCACTTGGCCTCTCCTTGCTTAAGAGTTGCAGAAAACTATAATCTTACAATATAATTAAGAAGAAAGCCCAGAAATATTGGGTGGACAGAGTTAAGGGCTCCTTATTTTGATGTGACTAGTTCATGGGTCTTTTTAACATTCTGAATGTTGGTTTCTCTCCAGCTTTGTTTTGTTCTCCAGATTGGTTTGTTCTCCAGTTTTCCCTGCTGGTCTACAATTTGTCTTTTAAATTCCACTAAGCTGTTACCATTTGTCTGTTTTGGTGTTGCTATTGTTTTAGTTTTTTTCTCCTGCTCTTTTTTTTACTTGGGAATATACCATAAAAAATAATTTTTGTTTTAGTGAGCTTCAGAAAGAAGGGAATCTGTTGTTTATCTTAAAACTATGATTGTAATATATAATCTCACATATATAATATAATCAGTGAGCTAGTTTTGCAGCTTTGCATGACAGTGAAAATATATTTAAATAATTAGATATTTTATAAAAATATTGTAGATATTCCAGTACACATTGATGTATATAATGTTTTGATCTTTCCAATTATTTTTATGTTGAATTTTAAAAGTTGTTTCTAAAGGAAAGCTTAGCAACAAATAGTCATTTGTGAAGTTTTGGAAAAAAACAGCTTTACTTCCCAGAGATTTATTCATTACTCGAGTGAGGATTCCTTTTTATAAATCAAAAAGCCTCAAACTCTTTGCTTTTGCCAAAGTTAAAATAACTACTACTTTATTTATTCTACCAGTTTTCTGTTACTGCAAGAATGTTGCCTCAATAAACAGCTAAAAATGTCAGTGAAAAACTTCCTTTTATTTGTTATGCATGTGTTTTTGCCCATCAGTAGAAAGGTGTGTTCTCCAGTCCATAGTCCACTCATATAGACTGGGCTTCCTTTTGCATTGTTGATCAGGTTTGGTAATGTTGGACAGTTGTGCTTTTGGATATTAGCCAGCTGCTGCCAATGACGCCTCAGCTCTAATCCACGTGGTCTATTATTTACTGCCACTTTCCTGGGCTTGTTCTTATCATGGTAACAGGGCTCAACAAGAAAAGGCAAAAGCTTTGAAAACCAAGGCTATTTCTGCGGCATTTTACTGTCCGATGTAACTCACAAGGGCAGCCCAGATTCTAGGGGTGGCAAAACAGGCTTTCCTTAATGGAAAGACTCAGGGTTTCACATTTGCAGAGGTGAAGATGTATAGAGGATCAGAACTAGAGCTGATTTTGCAGACCCTTGTACAGAGTTGTTAAGTGATAATTATAAGTAATTTTTACTGTTAAAAATGTAAACTGGCTTGGGGGCCCGTATTGTGGAGGCAGGTTAAGTCTACTTGTCATGCCAGCGTCCCATATCTGAGTGCAGGTTAAAGTGCCTGCTGCTTCTCTTGTGTTTCAGCTCCCTTATAATGCAACTGGGAAGGCAGCAGAAGATAGCCCAATATTTCGGTCCTTACCATGCATGTGGGAGACACAGGTGGAGTTCCTGACTCCTGCCATTGGCCTGGACAAGTTCTGGCCAGTGCAGCATTTGGAGAGTGAACTGGCAGATGGAAGATGTATCTCTCTCATTCTCTTCCCTCTCTCTCTCTCTCTCTCCTTCCCTCTCTTTCCCCTCCATCTCAACCCCCACCTCTCAGTCTGCCTGTCAAATAAATAAATAAATAAATAAATATTTTAAAAGATGTAAACTGGGCATATAGCTCAAAAAGTGTTTAAACAGTTGAGTGACTTGCTAGCACTAAATTCCATTTGCTTCTAGTTAGGAACAAATTTCTTAAGTGCATAGATGTAAGCCAACAATTTTGAACTAAAGCCAGATACCTCTCATTCTAAATTAGCCCATTATTAAGGCTTGAATTCCAATAAAATTTCATATTTCTGCTTTAATAACTACTTATAAAATATGTTATTTAATTTGTGAATGCTGTTATCATAGAAAAAAATCATTGTAGATGAAAACAATTTTTTTAATGCTTGGAACTTTATAAATTTAACTGAAGAATCAAATGATGTAAAAAAAAGCTACCAGGAGGGTTTATTTAGCCTAGAGGTTAAGATACCTGTGTTACATATTGAAGTTCCTAGGTTTTGTTCCCAGCTCTGGTTTCTCCAGCTTCCTGCCAATGTAGTCCCTGGAAGGCAATAATGATGGCTCAAATGCTTGAGCTCCTGCCCCTGAGCTGTGACACTTAAAATTAGTTCCTAGCTCCTAACTCTGACCACTGGACCAACCCCCAGCCACTGCAGGTATTAGGGGAGTGAATGAATCAGAAGGATGAACTTGAAATAACTCTTTTTTTCCCTTTCTTTGCTTTCCTCTCTCTCTCTCCCTCCCTCCCTCCCTCTTTCCCTCCCTCCCTCCCTCCCTCCCTCTCTCCCTCCCTTCCTCTCTCTCTCTTCCTTCCTTCCTTCCTACCTTCATTCCTTCCTTCCTTCCTTCCTTTCTCCCTTTCTCCTTTTCTCCCTTTCTCTCTTTCTCTGTCTCCTTTCCAAATAAATAAATAAATAAATACACAAACTTAAAAATATATTTAATTAAAGTAAAATTATGTGTAGATATACATACACCCATACATATGCATGTGTGTACATTTATGTTAGGGATGATAGAAAAAAAAAGATACCTGTTTTAAGATGACTGTTTGGAGCTTCACTAGACTCCATCAGCACTGCACTCTGCTTTGCATTCACGTGGTAACTTTTAGAGCCCTCCATTCAGATACCACTCTTAAGGCAAGGAAAGATATAATGTTTTTCTCCTGAATACACGTGATTACATTATAAAAAGAAATTGTGGAGCGGGTGTTTGGCACCATGATTTAGATGACTCTTTGAACACCCACATCTCGTATCATAGTGCCCAGGTTCAAGTTCTGGCTCTGCTTCTGATGAGAACTTTGCAGCAATGCACACCCTGGGAGGCAGCAAATGATGACTTGAGTACTTGGGTCCCTGAAACCCATGTGGGAGTCTCAATTCAGCCTGGCCCAGCCCTTACCATTGCAGGCATTTGGTGGAATGAACCAGTGAATGGGAAACTTTGCTCTGTCTCTCTGACTTTCAAATATAAATAAATAAATGTAAAAAAATTACAAATTATATTTGACTCTCAGTCCTTGAAATTCTAGCACGTTTGAACCCCAGTGGGTATTGCCAAGGACTCTTAACTTCTTGAAATATACAGTTCTGTTCTCCAGTAGACATACATGAGTGGGCAAAATTAGGGTGCACTATTGATGTTCAAACATTGAGTTTAAAGATGTATTACAAAATTATAAATATTAAATAGCTCATAAATGTATTTTTATGTTTGGTATACTTATATACATTTAACAAAAATTCACCAAAATTTATTCTATTAATTTCATCTGCCTCTTTATTTTTTTAATGTGACAACTAAGATATCTAAAATTGTGTATGTTTCTGGCATTATACTTCTATTCGACACTGCAGATCTATAACAAAATTACAGAGATCTAGGGAGAACTGGAATCCTCTTGACCCATTAATCTGAAGTTATCTTTTCAGTTGCAGTTTCCTTCTTAGAACCTCCTCCATCCCCATGATGTAAAAAACATGGAGCATCTTTTTCAGATGATATCTTCCCTCATACCTTGTAGGGTTCAACAGAATCAAGCCCTCAGATCAAATTGATACCCAAGGGATACTTAATGGATACTGAAGGAATGGTGGGAAGTAATTTCTTCACACCACAGGTGCCTTGCTACATGAACAGTGAAGGGCATCTTATTGAAGATGGACAGAAAAGGCAGTTCCTGGGAAAGACGGGGCTTTGGTGGAGAAGATGTGTTCTCTGGAGACCCTTCCTGTGAAGTTACTCATCTGCCCTCTCTTTCTTTCTGATTATTCCAGAACGCTGTGATGACTGGGGACTAGATACCATGAGGCAAATCCAAGTTTTTGAAGATGAGCCAGCTCGCATCAAGTGCCCACTTTTTGAACACTTCTTGAAGTTTAACTACAGCACAGCGCATTCGGCTGGCCTTACTTTGATCTGGTATTGGACTAGGCAGGACCGTGACCTTGAGGAGCCAATTAACTTCCGCCTTCCGGAGAACCGCATTAGTAAGGAGAAAGATGTGCTCTGGTTCCGGCCCACCCTCCTCAATGACACAGGCAACTATACCTGCATGTTAAGGTAGCCTACCTCTCAGCGGTGACTCTCTATTTCCCCTTTAGTCCTGGACTTTGATCCAGTTGATGTTGTGCTCTAAAACAGAGGAGGGAAAGGAAGCATTTAGACAGAAGTAGGCTTCACATTAGCTTAGCTGAGGTGGGAGGAAGGAAGGAGGTATAAAGAGACAATGGTTTTACCTCTGAGAATATTCTCCGTGGGTGGTTTCTTTTCTGAAGCTGACACATGTCAACATTGTCCAAAGGTAAAGCCTTGTTTACTCTCTTCCCATGTCATTGGAACTTGCCTACATGGCATTGGAAGCTGCTGCACTTAGAAGCATACATTTTCCTAGACAAGAACAGTGCAGGGAGTAGAGTCCATTCATATGTTATTCTTGGCATTTTTCGAAGTAAATGGCACAATAGAGACTCAGGGTGCCTTTAAAAAGAAAGAGTATTTGGGAGGTGTCAAATGTATTTAGGGCAATGCCTTTGAAGCTTTTCTACCAAAATTCCTCTCAAAAGCAAGTGAATACCACATCCCTGGGAATATGAGTAGATAACAGCCTACCATTATTGCAAACTTTCTTTCAAGTCCACTTTTTTTTCCTTTAAAGCCCATGTGGATTTTTATGTGTTACTGCACAATATGACTATTTTTCTTTTACTACAGATTAATGCTGTTTTTGAACTGAGAAGAAAAAAAATCTTAAAATAAACTGAGGTATCACCAAAAAAATAACCATTTTAAGCCTTGGTTCTTAGATTACTTTTCACCTATAGTATATTTTTAACTACCAGGCTTTAATTCCTTCATTCCTAGATGTATGTGTGTGTGTGTGTGTGTGTTTAATTTACTTTTAACCTAATTTTGAGCTATTTAATGTATTTATTGGCTAGGGCTGCAAATACAAAATACCACAGATTGGGTGATATAAACAGAAAATTATTGTTTCATAGTTCTGGAGGCTAGAAGTCCAAGGTCTAAGTGTAGGTAGGGTTGTTTTCATTCTTAGTACCTCAGTCTTCAGCTTGTATATGGCCAACTTGTTTTCATGTCTTCATATGACTTTCTACCATGTGTGTCTGTGTCCTAATTGATTTTTTAAGGGCACATGTTACATTGGTTTATTGCCTATCCTTATGACCTCATTTTAAGTTAAGTACATCTTTAAATGTACCATTTATAAACACAGTTGCACTCTGAGTGAAGGAGGAGTATGAGTTTGGGAAGGACACAATTCAGTTCATTAAGTAATACCACTTCTTTTTCCTCTCATGGATGTTAATGGTTCTCTGTTGGAGAACTATGACTGTGTTTTGATAAGTTACATTAAGATCATGTGGAAAAGTCCTTTTCTCTATCACAGGAAATTCTGTGTATCCCTGTGCCTGTGGGGAACCCTGTAATCACTTAAGGCCCCCTGAGACTTTGAACTGGCACTTTAATTTTATGGAAGAAGGCTCTATTCTGATGTGTGAGTGTCCATGGAGCCTGGGACAGTTAGCTGCCCCTTATTTATATCCTAATACAATTTGGTAGAAGTTCAAACAAATGATATTAGCGAGAGTGCTGGATGAGAAGAAATAATAACTAGGCCAACTCTGCTATTACTTAGAAATCTTATGTAAGTTATGCCCAAATCTTTGGTGTCTATATCTACACAGTGACAACTGGCCTACATTCTCTTTAAGTTCCTTGCCATCTCAAACTATTGTTAAACTTAGTATTTCCCAAGTGAATATTAGCAAATACCTGGGAAGGAGTCCTGAGTGGTTTTCTATTGGACTTTGGTTTCTGTTGTGCATTCTAAAGTGCTTATGATTCTATCTACCCACAATTTGCTGAGAACTCTTCCCCAGACTTTTTTTTTAAGATTTATTAATTTATTTGAAAGGTAGAGATAAAGAGAGGGAGAGGGAGAGGAAAAGAGAGAGAGGGAAAGAGAGAGAGGGAAAGAGAGAGAGATCCGTCTGCTAGTTTGCTCCCCAAATAGCTTCACTTGGGTCATTTTCTACTGTCTTCCTGGGCACATTAGCAGGAGGTTGGATTGGAAGTGGAGTAGCCAGGATTCAAGTTGGAGCCCATATGGAATTCTAGCACTGCAGGCAGCAGCTTAACTTGCCATGCCACAGCACCAGCTCTGTCCCCAAACTTTTAAATTATCTTTTACATTACAAGAATTGGACTGTATGGCTAAAGCCTGTAGTGCCTTTTAACTTTTTTTCTAATATCTACTTCCAGATTTTCACTTATTCAGTTTACATGTCTGTCATATTCCATGTATTCAAAGCAAACCTAGGATTGAAATTGTGTGGTAGGAGCATGACAAAGCTTCCATTGTCCTGATTCCTAAATTGAGAATGGCTTAAATGGAACTATGTGGACTCATAAGCCTGGAGATTTTTATGGCCTTGAGTTGGATATATCTTCCAGGATTAAGTTGCTTATACAATTGCTCCAATACTAGACAAATTGGGGAGACCAACTATTGCTCCTTACTTTCATTACAATCAGAAAATGTGTTTTTAGATTAACTGAAATTTACTATCCCATGGGGTGCAGGGCCCAAGCACCTGGGCCATCCTCCACTGCACTCCCGGGCCACAACAGAGAGCTGGCCTGGAAGAGGGGCAACCGAGACAGAATCCGGCGCCCTGACCGGGACTAGAACCCGGTGTGCCGGCGCCGCAGGTGGAGGATTAGCCTAGTGAGCCGCGGCGCCGGCCCAAAAATACTTATTTTTCAAAGATTATTTATACCACTAACAGCTGTGCTTAAAAAGGTCATTATCAGCACTAATATTAAGAATGTTTAAAGTTACATACATTATTCATACATAATAAACACATTTAGGATTATATCTACACTTGATCTCAGCCAAAAGGCCAAGAACCGATAGGATCATATCTAAAAGTGTAAATATTTTAGTGCATTAATAATAGATAATTGCATCTGTTTTTGTTTTTCTTTCTGTGATGTGAATTGGTATAGGGAATACTAAGTAATTTAATTCTTACATAAACTTATACATATAAATGAAGTCTCAAAACATAGCATAGCTTCACTTAGTTCGATTTAATCTGGTTGCTATATTAAATCAAATGCAAATAAGACTACACATTCATGGCATATTTCTCTTTTCAGGAATACCACATATTGCAGCAAAGTTGCGTTTCCCCTGGAAGTTGTTCAAAAAGACAGCTGCTTCAATTCCCCCATGAAACTCCCAGTGCATAGATTGTATATAGAATATGGTATTCAGAAGATCACTTGTCCAAATGTAGATGGATTTTTTCCTTCCACTGTCAAACCCATCATCACTTGGTATATGGTAAGCATATTCAAGGACATTTTATCCTTTCTACGATGGTGATGCTTGTTGTTTGAGTTAAATGTAGACTTTGAGACATTTCTTCTACTCAGATTTTGTGATTTCCTCCTCAACAACTTTTTAAAAACCTTTGACCATTCCTCCTTTTCTACCAATTTCAAGGAAGTTGTATGGGGTGCCTTGCCCAATCCCACTATTTTTGAAATTACGTTCTCTAGAACAGTAGAACTACCATATTTCTCAACTTCCTGTGAAGAACATTTTGAGAAATGATGCTTGCTTTTCCTCACTACTTAGTTAAGTCAGGAGATAATTCATGTGCTGGGTTTCAACTTCTTGATTAATCTGTAAGATATTTTATTATTTATGTTATTTTCTTATCTGCCCTCATTTTTGAGTACTGTACATCTGTTGTCTCTTTTGTATCGGAGGGATTTGCAAAGTGTTTAATTAAAAAATCAAAGTGTTGGAAGGTGGCAGTTGTGACAGCAGCATGGATTTTGAATCTCTTCAAAACTCCACATACACCAAAGCCAAAAATTCAAGGACAGAGTTTACAACAAAACTCAGTGACAAGTTCGTCATAGAACACTTTCAATAAAGTGAGACAGACCACCAGCAACCCTAAGACCTGGATGGAATCAGTGTTTACAGAAGAGGAACAGATAGAGGCAGCGTTGTTTATGACAGTCTTCAGAACAAGACAGCAAAGAGCCAGCAGGCATTCACCGGAACATGTTGAGAATGGCAGATGAAGTTGGGAGGGGTTTATGGTCTAATAGAGGGCAAGTATAGGAGAATGACTGTAGGAAGTTCTGAAGGGTTTGGAGAGGTTCTAGTGCCTTACAGTTATGAAATATGACTAGTCAGACTGAAGAGAAACTATTGAGACTGGAATAAAAAATACACTGGATCGGGATAATATAGGTAAAGTAAAGAGAAGGACTGGCTAGAAATAGTGAAGCAGAGCAGAGTCAGAACATTTCAGATAGAGTCACCATGGTTTTGAAGAGTAATTTCTGTGAAACTAGAAAATCTTGCCATATTCTGAAGTTTAAATGAAACTAACTTCATATATAAATTAGCATCAAGCAGAATGAAGGCAAAAATTCAAATTTTCAAGAAAAAAAGAGTAAAAACCAGAATAATATCTCTAACAAAAAATAAAGCATGCCAAAATGACATAATTCACTATTTCAAAAATGAGCTAAAACAAATTATGAAAATGATTTATAGTATGAAATAACATAAATAACAATTAGAGAAGTATAGAAATTCTATAATTCACTGAAAACTTGGAAAGAAATAATTTCAGAAATGAGACTAAATTAAAATGAACATAATAGCAAAGAGAAAATTACCTCTGATAATAATGACTGAAGATTAATAGAAGGTGACAAAGAAAACTTTTTAAGTCAAAATAAATGATGAGTAAAATAAGAAGGCTTGATAGCCATAACAGTATCAGATAAAGTAAACAGTGAGTTTTACCATCAATAAAAAATATTTAATACTATTAAAAAGATTACTTCATCAGTATGACGTAAACATAATAAAAGCATATGTACTTGGCCGGCGTCGCGGCTCACTAGGCTAATCCTCCGCCTTGCGTCACCAGCACACCAGGTTCTAGTCCCGGTCGGGGTGCTGGATTCTGTCCCGGTTGCCCCTCTTCCAGGCCAGCTCTCTGCTGTGGCCAGGGAGTGCAGTGGAGGATGGCCCAAGTCATTGGGCCCTGCACCCCATGGGAGACCAGGATAAGCACCTGGCTCCTGCCATTGGATTAGCGCGGTACGCTGGCCGCGGCAGCCATTGGAGGGTGAACCAATGGCAAAGGAAGACCTTTCTCTCTGTCTCTCTCTCTCACTGTCTACTCTGCCTGTCAGAAAAAAAAAAAAAAAGCATATGTACTTAACAACGCTTCAAAATATATGAGACAAAAGTTGACTAAACTCATGGGAGAAGCAGACAATTCCACAATCATAGTTGACAATTTTAAGTTATGTCTATATGGAAGTTTTTTAATATAATTTTTAAATATTTATAATATGTGTTTGAAAGGCAATGTTATAGAGAGAGAGGAGACGAGACAGAGAGAAAGATCTTCCAAACAATCCAGCTGCTAATGCACAAATCTGGAATTTCAAACAAGTTTGATGTAGTTCCAAATCCTGTATTCTTTAGAACTGCTATGGAGAAGGTGATGCAATGTTTACTTTTAGAGCTTGGGGCACTTTGAAGGGCAGAATGACCTTTTGATACATATTGGGTTGTGGGCTGGACCATGAGACTTGGAAAAGCAGAAGGATCACAAACAAACTGAGTTTTGGGGGAATAGAAACCCAAATATTATATTACAGAATTGCAGAGAAAATGGGACAGGATTGGATTTCTCTCCCCTGCCTGTCTTCTCTTCCTCTTTTTATTCTCTCTTGCATCGCAAGACTTCCTTAACTCAGGACTCAGAATTGACAGTTCTATAATTCAAAAATACTGTGATTTAAATTGGTGTCCAATAAATGTTTGTTGAATAAGCTAGATTTTGTAACTAGCCTGGAGAGCAAGCCATGGTTTGTAAGAGATTTGCTGAATTTCAAGTAGCTCATAAAAGAATGTCTGGAACACAATATGTGTATAAATTAGATACTGCCTATTCACATAGGGATCTAAAAATATATACCAGCAGATACACATGTGTGATCCTGTTATGTATTCCTATTATTATTATATTTATTTAGACATTTGGATTTTAAAATATGGCAAGTCATCTTCACATTAAAATTACTAGATTAAGTCTCCATTGTTAAATTTGGGTATTTGAAATTTTTACTTTTAGAGACACAAAAGCAAAGGCAATTTTTCCTTCCTGTAAGGATCAGATGAAGCTCTCTGTTTGGTGTTTTGGATATTACACTTATGGCAGCTGTTGAAATATGCACAACTGCTATTTAGATATATGAATATAATTATGAAAAATAGTTTGCAAAATATGTTTGTTCTTTTACTCATTTTAATCATTAAAATTGATATTCTGGGTCAGTCATTGTGATGGAGTTTGTTAAGCCCTTACTTAGGATGCCCGTATCTTATACCAGAGTGTCTGGAACCAAGTCAAACCTCCTCCATTTCTGATGCAGCATCTTCCTAATAATACACGCGAGAGCTGCAGATTATGCCCCAAGAACTTGGGTTCCTGCCGTTATCCACATAGGAATTCTTGGCTCCTGGCTTCAGACTGATCCAATTTTGGCTGTTGTGTGCATTTGAAGAAAACACCAGAGGAAGAAAGATTCTCTCTCTCTCTCTCTCTCTCTCTCTATATATATATATATATATATATATATATATATATATTTAAAGTTTCTAATGGCCCAAGATTGATTATTTAAACTTAAAGCAAATTCAAATATCTGAAGCCAAATAAAGAAAAATGAATAACCAATTCTATACTTTTAATAGCACTCCACTCATATTTCTTTTTTGTTAGTATCATGATTGTATTTCTTTTTTCTATTATAGGTAGTGGATTCTCTCTCTTTCTATCCCCTTGAATACCAAACACATAGCACAAAATAGAGACAAGAGACATTACACTTATGAATTGACTCTATAATTGAACGGATTGGACTGGGCTGTAAAATTCCATGAGAATCAGTGCCATTTTTACTGTTACTGGCTATTACATGCCCAGTTCCTAACAGTACCCAGCACATACAAGGGACTTTGTGAATATGTGTTGTATAAATATTGGAAGACTTATTTCTGTCCATTGGAAGTGATTGGTTTGTAGAAATTTTATAGGACTTAGTGACAATGTATAGTGGATTTTATACCAACATAATTTTAGATGCACAAACTTCAGTAGCTAGTCTTAACTGCTCAGGTCTTATGTTGCAGTTTAACTCTTTGTATCGCATTCCAACTTTCTCTACTCATCCTGCAGTCTACCACCCAATATATATATTCCATATACTCATCATCACTTATATATTCCAGGGGCTCACAATTTCATTACTTGCTATTTTGTTTCTTTCATTCATACTTTTCTTCATGCAACACAGATACATTGAATATTTACCATGTGGCCAAGTATTGGGCAAGTTGTCAGTCATACAGATACAGAACTCATCTACTCCCCACTTCTCCTTTATGGAGTGAATTTCCAGAAGAGCAGCTCTACATGAAAACAGAACGTTAGTGTAACGTAATTTAAGCCATAAGAATGAGGGGGAAATATTATGACAGGCAGGTGAATTCTTACTTGTTCCTGTGTTTATCTCCCAGGTCTCCACTCTTCCCTAATTGCTATTAATATTCCACTTATACTTTAGATTCAGCCCAAATCTACCTTCTTAAATTTTTAAGTGCTTACTCTTTGATCTTCTTCCCACAGTCTCATGCCACAATGTACCTATCATTGCATTTGTTGCAATTCTGTGTTAGGCTATGATTACGAATATGAGAAACACCATGTCTTTTCCTTCCTTGTGCCTTCACACAATTCTTTACATGTTGTAGATTTCTAAAATGAAAATAATTACCTTTATTTTCTCATAACATTGCCTCACATGTACCCAATATGTGCCCTCATGATTCATTTCTTGTGCTGTTCTTTCCATATAATGCTGTGGTTAGTTCTCATGGTGATCATTGCATGGTTGAAAAGTTGCTCTTCTATTTAACTTCTCTTTTTTGAATTCAGAATGAGGAACTGATAGGTCAACTAGATGGACTATTTGTCTTCTAGTCAGGCAAGTGTTTGCTTCATTGTGGAAACTCACTCACTACTGATTTCTTGTATTTGGAAACATGTTTTCTATACTTTGGGTATTCAGGCCTTTGTTAATGATCATTTTCTTCTGGAGTTCAAAGGGTTTTGAAATCATGATAAAATTTGCAGGACTTATTTGCAAAATTAATATATCTTTCAAAATAGCATGTATTTCTTTGGTGCATGTGCTAAAGGGTCAAAAATTGGAGCTGCTGAGAAAGAGAGGGGAGAGGGAGCGAGAGGAAGCTAACTAAACACTACAGGCTAAAGTTGATGAACATTTATAATTCAATAGTGCCCTGAAACTACTCCCACCTTGTATGTTTGTGTGTGTATACACACATATATGGGCATTTGGAATGTAAAATATTTCCTTTATTTTCTTTCTAAACTGCTATAAGCCTTGTAGGTTTAAAACAGCTGAAAAGTTCTTTTCAGCGCATTGTTAAGAAATAATTACTGATGACAAGTTCAGTAATAATGGCTGACTTCTCATCTTGAAAAGCGTGCTTTTCCAGTTTACCACAGTTTGGAAGAATTAGCCTGATTTAAGTTGCATTAACACTATTAACACTGAGGCTGGCTCCGCCTGTGACGTAGATTCAGGGTCACTATATAGGATGAGGAGACAATATCAGATGTGGTCTTTCTACCTTATACTGTTGAATTCTGTATTTAGCAGAACATTAAACTTGTAATTATAAAGTAAGTGGAACTTATGCTCTCTCAAAAATTAAAAGAAAAATAAGAAAGGAAAGAGGAAAAAGGGCAGGGCAAAGGGGAAGTATTATGTTCTTAAAATTGTATATATGAAATACATGAAATCTGTTCTCTTTATATGACCAAATAAATAAATGCATTTTTAAAAGGCAGTAGTTGCAAAACAAATTGGAGTAGGTTCACACTCCAGCTTTGATACTACTGTGACATTGCAGTTGTTTAACCTTTGCAAGTCTTTGCTTATTCATCTACAAAATTAGTGCCTTATAAATTTTGTAACTTTGGAATGAAGATCAGAAGAGATAATAGAATATATGTAAAGCATGTGGCTCAGTAATATTTTTACAGCCTCAATTCATTGCTGAGTAGGTTTGATTTTCAGTTAGGAAGCTAGGGAAAGACGTTTATTCAGCCATTTGGAAAACTGAGTTTTAGCTTTGTATTGTGCTATCTAGAATATGTTTTGTCTCATTTTGTTCCATCTGCACAACTAGAGCATATTTATTCTGATTTGTCTGCTTCACAGGAATTTAAAAACACCTAAGATAACAAGTAAGGGAAAAACTTATCTTTGAACTGACTAAATGCAAGGTGCTACAAAAATCAAATAGATTTCTATAGACGTTTTTAACTTAATTTAAACCAAATCTAAGGAAAATTCATTGTAGGAATATAGGCTTTTGTGGCATTATGCTTTGTGATGACCTAAGGGTTTTGAAATTGTTTGTTGATGTGACAAATGATTGGAAGCATTGCTTAACCAAACTGGGGAAATTGACAAAATGTGCTAACCTGAGCATGTATCAGCTTCATCTTGATGATCTCCATGAGACAAAAGTTCAGTGCTGTTCTTAAAAGACATTTCCTGCTGCAAAGAATTACAAAATTTGCTTCTTGTCGTAACTGTCATATTTCAAAACACATGGTCCGGGAATTGAAGTAAGAGAACCTTAAGTATACTAGACTCAAAGTTTAAATATATAAATATAGAAAATTGAACATATAAGTCAGGGATAGATTCCCAGAATTTTAAGCATCTAAATGTTCTGAGGTAATGTACTACATTTTGTCGTTGATGAATTATTGCTATTTAAAAGAAAATCAAGATTTTTCTCTAAAAGTATACATAATCAACATATATTTTCAGCATAGATAATACATTGAATATTTTTACAAATATAAAAGGTAAAACAATGTAGTCTTTTAGTGAAGCTGAGAAATGAAATACATGATTCTAGATATGTTAAAGGGGATTTTCAATATCAAACAACTAGAATATATGAAATGTAACTTAAGAGCAGAAACAAGCTCCTTGGTCTTAATAAAGTTCATAAAAATATTTTACTTTTAGATTCTTGAGTCTGTAGTAATTGTGAAAACAGGATAAAATGGAGGGAAATACAAAAATGCCTGTACATAGGGATTCAACAGAGTAATCAACAATGTCAAAAAACAGACATCTAAATTTAGTCCTGGATTATCAAACAGTGTGACCAGATTCCTGAATTAATATAATCCATGAAGAAATATAGGAAAAAAAATTATTTTCTAAATAGCAGTTTTCAGTTGCTCAAATTTCCTTAGTCATTGTTTTAAAACTTTAATATTGCTTCACTATCAACATAGGATTCCAAGAATTTTAAGACTGGAACCTGAGATAGAAAACCTATGCTATTGAAGTCATACGTAAGTTCAGAATTTTAATATATCTTTTACAGACAAGATAATGACAAATGCATTCATTTTAGAAACATTATCAGGCGCGGCTCAATAGGCTAATCCTCTGCCTGCGGCGCCAGCACACCGGGTTCTAGTCCTGGTCGGGGCACCGGATTCTGTCCCGGTCGCTCCTCTTCCAGTCCAGCTCTCTGCTGTGGCCCGGGATGGGAGACCAGGAGAAACACCTGGCTCCTGGCTTTGGATCAGTGCGATGCGCCGCCCACAGCAGCTGTTGGAGGGTGAACCAACAGCAAAGGAAGACCTTTCTCTCTGTCTCTCTCTCTCTCACTGTCCACTCTGTCAAAAAAAAAAAAAGAAACGTTATCAGGCATTTGACCCAAGATAATTTCATAAAAAATGAAACACAGATATTTGTATGTTTTGTGCAAATGTGTTTGTATATTTTTATACATATATCTAAATAAAAGGGGCTTTAGTTTAGTGGGAATATAGACTAGTTATTCGAAGAAGTATTTTGCTGTAATGTAATTTTAGAACATGTTACCCCTCCAAAAAAAAAAAAAAAAAAGAAATGGAGATGGAAAGAAGGCAGAAGAGAAAGATGGAGAGGGAAGAAGGTAATATTGTGTTCTTAGAATTATATCTACAAGTCACACTGAATCTGTTAAATTCAAATTAAACGTTAAAATTTCTGAGAAGCATGGGGGAAAGAAAGAATAGGGGCCTGCATTTTTTTTTTAAACTTTTATTTAATGAATATAAATTTCCAAAGTACAGCTTATGGATTACAATGGCTTCCCCCCCATAATGTCCCTCCCACCCGCACCCTCCCCTTTCCCACTCCCTCTCCCCTTCCATTCACATCAAGATTCATTTTCGATTCTCTTTATATACAGAAGATCAGTTTAGCATACATTAAGTAAAGATTTCAACAGTTTGCTCCCACACAGAAACATAAAGTGAAAAATACTGTGTGAGTACTAGTTATAGCATTAAATCTCAATGTACAGCACACTAAGGACAAAGATCCTACGTGAGGAGTAAGTGCACCTGCATTTTGGTGTAGTGGATAGAACAGCTACCTGCGATCTTGCATCCCATGTCCCATGTGAGTGACAGTTTGTGTCCTGGCTGTTCCACTTCCGATTCAACTCCTTTTTAATGGCTTGGGGAAAGTAGCAGAGGATGGCCCAAGTGTTTGGGCTGCTGACACCCAAATGGGAGACCTGGGTGAAACTCTGGCTCTGACTCCTGGCATGGTCTGGCCCAAACTTGGTTATTGCAGCCCTCCGGGGAAGTGAACCAGAAGATGGAAGATTCTCTCTCTCTCTCTCTCAATCTCTCTCTCTGTGTGTGTGTCTGTTTTTCTCTGTATAACTCTGATTTTAAAATAAATATTTTTTAACAAAAGAATAAACATATTTTGTTTTACTTCTTCTAGGGCTGTTATAAAGTGCAAGATTTTCATAACGTAATACCAGAAGGCATGAACTTGAATTTTGTCATTGCTTTGGTTTCAAATAATGGCAATTACACGTGTGTTGTCACATATCCTGAAAATGGGCGTACCTTTCATCTCACCAGGACTGTGACTGTAAAGGTGGTAGGTAAGCATGATTTTTATTAAGTATACTCAGCAAAAGCACAAAGATTTTGTTCAGGACTCTAGTAGTTTGTGACGCACAAATATGTAAGCACTGTAAGAAAATAAATTAATGCTTTTAATGCACTGAATGATTCTCTGAACTTTACAAGAAGTTCATGTGTGTAGTATTAATTCAATAAGAATAGATCAACTGAATAAATTTGTGAATGAATGATGTAAAGGCAGTTTGGGAAGTGAAAAGAGTACCATCTATGTCTGTATTCAAATTATATTACTGCCACTTATTAGCAACGTGACTTTGGTCAATCTTTTAGTCTCCTTATCTGTACTCTGGGACCAGTGTGTGCTACTAGTGTGTGCATTCAGGAAGATCCAGACTATGAGAAATAGTATATTGTGTGAATGCAACTGGTAGACAACGAATGAATGAGTGTTAGTTAATAGTATTGTCAAGAGTGTTTTATTTGGATTAATTAAATTCTATCATTATGTGTACCAAAACTGCTATTATTGTTCCTGAAACTGTTTACTGGCAGTGTTCAATTTCTGCACCGAGAGAAGAGAGGATGAGAAACTGGAGAAGTTCAAAGGCAGTCGGTAGACTCTGATCCCCTCCCTCTCCAATATCATGAGAACTAGTGACAGGATATGTGATTGCATTCATTGTGTTAATAGTGATAATAGCATAGGAGAGTGGCATTTTGCCATATCACGTCTTTTCATAGGATTCACTGCCATACTAACATTGAAATTTAGGACAGAGAATAACCTTTTACACATAGCTCCATGAGATAATAGAAGTAATTCTAAACCCCAGATCTTTCTTTGTCAGGTTTTTTTGCACTAGACTGAAACTGAGATTCAGTGTAAGTTACAAAAATAAAGGGTTTTACCATAGTGCAAATAAATTCAAATCAAACAGTTTGTAACCATCTTTGCTCTTATTTTCTGGATAATGCTGAGTTGGATATTAATTCAGGAAGGAAAAAAAAAGCAGACTAAGTTTTGTATGGAACATGAATGGATTTTAGAAGTCAAATGTAATCTAACCTTATGAATGAACCTTATTCATCTTGGCAGTAGTTTTTAATATTTAGATATATATAGATATAGAAATATACTTAAATTTATTCATTTTTGGGAAGTTGGGAACAGGAATGTTTGGATACTCTAATTTATACATATAAAAATTGACAGAAACAGAGCAGGGGATTCTTACCCACCTCTCGTGCAATGCAGACTTTTATTCTTTTGGAGTTGCGAAGTATTGAATACTTATTATATGCTACTAAGGGATGTTTTAATTTATATTACTTAATTTATACCTTGTACCTAAACCATGAGGTGAATTTTATTTGTTCTCAATTTATAGTTTGAGAAAATTAGTTTCTTAAAGATCAAATCAAAAAATTAGGTTAATACACTTAGTAAATAGCCAAGTCAGGATTAGATCTTGCTCCAGATGTTTGGAGTCCAGTGCACTGAAAAGTCTTTTCCAGGTGTTGTTCTTTCAATGTGGGATTACAGAAGAGCAGCAGTCCCCATAATACCATTCAGCTGGTAACTGACCTCAAGTAGATTTATATGCTTTCTTTAAAAGTATGGTTTTGATTTTTCCATTTATGTACTCACTAATTTAATATTTATTTAACCAGGTCCCATATTAGGTATTCTGGAAATATTGAGAAAAATTGAGAAATATTGAGAAGAAATAATTAAAATATGAAAGCAATTAATAAAAATGTAGTGTGATATGTGTATCCCATGTAAGCTTTGAAAAGCAACAAACCTGATAAAACCATTTGCTGAAACATTGAGGATGCTATATTTGTTTTTATTTTGGGGGGAAATTGTTTTTCTATGTTCAGAATACTCCATCACGAACATGAAACACAAAGCAATTCTCTGATTCTCTGTAGACACCAACTGCATGTTCTACAATATAATTCAGTCTGATACTAACTATTAGAGTTAGCACAGCTCCCAAGGGCTGAGGGCTTAGTCCCACAAGATGGCCCTGCTGCTGCTTGAAATGCCAGTTTTAGGAGTGATTCCCAAGGTTATCCACACTTCTGCCCATCTTGCCTACACGGTGAAGTTTCCCACAACTCCCTCTTCAGGTTCTATGGCTTTCTGTAATGACACAAAACTCCGAAAACTCTTTACTTATGTTAGGAAGTTTATTACAAAGGATTCACATAAAAGACAGGTGCAAGTAATAGAAGGGTCTTGGGTGTAGGAGCTTCAGTTCCTGTAGAGTTGAGATGCCACAACCTCCTTGTTTGTACAACCCAGAAGTTCTCCAGACTCCATTTATAAGGTATTTTATAGAAGTTCCATTGCATAGGCATGATTGGTTAAATCATTGACTACTGGGGAGCTGCTCAATCTTCAGGCCCTTCTTCACTTCCTGGAGTTTTGGGGGTGAGCTCAGAATTCTACTTCTTTAATCATGTCATGATCTTCATTTCTGGCTACCAGCCCTTTCCTTGAAGCTACCAAGGGTCCTCAGCCCCGTTCATCTCAACAGGATATATCATTCCAGAGATTCCGAGGGTCATACTAGCATTGTGTCCAAAAGTAGGAAATGAAGCCAAATGTAGCAAAAGCTGCTCCTACTATTACCTTCATTCAGGAAATTACAAGAATTTTAGGAGCCTGGAGCACAGACCAAATCATGCATTTCTTGTCATATTACACTTTGCTTATTTTAGATAAATTAAGAGCAAAAATTAAATAAAAATGAAATTAAGGGATTTCTTTTAACAAACTATGCCAGGTAGTTGGGTGAGACTTCACACAAGAGCAGAATTTTGAATAAACCTCTCTATTTTATTTCTTCTCTATCACAGGCTCTCCAAAAGATGCAGTTCCCCCTCAGATCCATTCGCCCAATGATCATGTGGTGTATGAGAAAGAACCAGGTAATTACAGATATGGCTCTGAATTTCAGTTAGATCTTCTCACTTACAAGGAATTCAAATGCCCATTAAGTTGGCACTAGATGACACAGGGCTATTGTAAAAGAAACACATAGATTAAAACTGAAATGTCATGAGAAGTCAAGGCTGCTATGGAGATTAGCTGCTTCATCAACTTCGGGGACAGTGAGAGGTATTCATCTCTGTCTCAGCATCTGCTCCCTTTTTGTCTTCTCATAGTCTTCCTCTGCTGATTAGTGATTGCTGTTTCAGGAAAATGTCAGTGTGTGGGGGACATTGTTTTGCAGAAGGAGCAATAGGAGCGCAAGATATCCTTCAAAATTCTCCATTATAAGAGGGTAGAGTTGGAGTTTGGAGCAAGTCTGTGGATGTACACAGTAGCAATGGATAGAACTGGTACACCTAGATTCAGCATACAAACAATGTTTACTGTGGGTCTCTGAGTGATTTTTTATTCCCAACAAAATCATTTACTACTGATCAAATAACAGTTTATTCTTTCTATTCAAATCCTCCCACAATTAAGTGAATTGGCAAACACAGAAAGCTTTAGCATTTTCTGTATTGTATCTCTTGCAATATTCACTACAAATTCAATTCAAGGTGTAGAAAAGAATAATACCAATAAAATAAAATAAGTTTGTAAGTATGATTTGCCTTAAAAAGAGAACACATTAAGGAATCTGCTAACTTCAATCGAACGGCATTTGTAGAATTAGCTGTGGTTTGAATATTAATATGAACATTCTTAGTGAAGTTGGGGTAAGCCCTTATTAATGACATAAATGTGTTTCATTTACCTCTCATATTATGCTGATAGAAATATCCTCAAAATCGTGTTTACTGTATGTTCTTTAATAATGTATGGATATAGGTAACTGGAGGAGAAGGACTTAGGAATCATGAATTGGGAAGGAGGATAGAGTATGACCACTCAGAGAGTTAAACCTAAATTCAAATTAGGGTAATGATATAGTTTATCATCTATACCTGGACACCTTTTTGATAGTGAAAGCAGTCAATATGAATAGCTAACCAGGAATGGAAGAAGAAACAGAATTGTTTATAAGCAACTTGGAATGGAAGATGAGCCTAGGTCAAATCCTGGTCTATCACATATTGACAATTTGACTAGGAATGCCCTTTAACATCTTTAAGCTTTACCATTATTTCCTTTTTTTAAAAAAAGATTTATTTATTTGCTTGAGAGACAGAGTTACAGCCAGAGAGATGCAGAGACAGAGAAGTCTTCCATTCACTGTTTCCTTCCGCAAATGGCCACAACAGCTAGAGAAGCCAGGAGCCAGGAGCTTCCTCCAGGTCTCCCACGCAGGTGCAAGGGCCCAAGCAGTTGGGCCATCCTTTACTGTTTCCCCAGATCATCAGCAGCAGGGAGCTCAATTGAAAGTGGGGGAGCTGGGGCTCCAACTGGCGCCCATTTGGGATGCTGGCACTGAATGTGGATGCTTAACCCACTACGCCACACCACTGGCCCCTAAGCTTTAGCTTTCATATGTGGAGGACATCCATTTAAAAAAATACATCATATTCTTCTGTACACAATTGCTTAAGGCCATGAGTAGCTTTAAATATGTGGCACAGGGACTTTTACAAAATTCACATTTAGTAAGGATGTCCCTAAACTCATGTTCTGTTTCAAAAAAGGGTAGCGTAGAATCTTCTGTTTGTAAAATGTCTTTAGATTTATTGAGTGCACTGCTATAGGTTGAGCACGTCAGGATGCATCCTCTTTGGCCAGTCTCTCAGTGATGGTATCACCCATCTGCCCTGGACCTCTGATTAGAAAAATTTCCTTGTTTAGGAAGGAAATGACAAGTGAGAAAGGTACTTTAGAGTCACATAGTATTTTGTCAGAGACTTTCAGAACCAATGCTGCCATGTTATAACATATTTAGATTTTATTAATAATGGCTATTTGATAATTTTGTATAAAGTTTCTGGCATTTTATTTCTTCTGTTTTTGTGAGTATGATTGGAAGAAAATTCTTTTATGGCAGTTCACTAGAAAACCTAAAGTAGAGTTTTAGGTGTATGTAATTTTTATAGTTTCTGATTAGCCATAGAGTAAAACCAGTTACAACCATATAAAGTTACAAATCATTGTACTAACTTCGTCTACTAAATCACCCTTTTGTTTGTTTGTTTCAGGAGAGGAGCTACTCATCCCCTGTGAAGTCTATTTTACTTTCCTGATGGACTCTCGCAATGAGGTTTGGTGGACCATCGATGGAAAAAAGCCCGATGATATCAGCATTGATGTAACCATTAATGAAAGGTACTATGGGTGCAGGAAAGGGACTCACTAACCCTTGTCCCTCAGTCTAAGGCTTCCTGTTGTATAATAATGAAGTACAAATTATCATTTTTGATTATCATTAGCAAAAATCAGGAAGATTTTCAAATCTTCAGTAGTTGTCCCCCAAAGCAGGGTTGTTGGACGTATCGTCTCAGAGCCAGATGCTACCTGATGACTGTTCACAGATTTGAATTAGAATGTTATGGAGGTAGGCATCTTCATCACAGTTTGTCTGTAAGGCATGCACTCTATTGTCTTAAGCTCAGCAAGATTCATATATTTATGATAGTCATTTGGAAATAGAATACAAATCCTAAGTGAAAATCTTATTGATGTACTTGGGTTTTCTTTTTCAATCCTATCATCTAGGCCAATATTTTTGTGCCTTAATAATTATGTTTCATTTGTTGAGTTTTAGTGAACGTGGACTTCCTGCTTCTGCCTCTTTCTTAATGCACATGTATGTTACACTTATCACTGATAATTGTTAAAATATTAAGCAAATGTGTATATGTTCTCTAAATTGTGTTTTAAATCTGTGTGGGTAGTAACATACCTCACTTAAAATAATAACCTGAGTCATTTTATTACTAAGTAAACTTTATTTTCTTAAGGAGTATTTGAGTCCTTAAAGACAAAATTACTCGATAAATACAGTATACCATTGTTGAAGACCATTTGGTTGACCGCAACAGTTGGTAAGAATTAGCAGCTAATCAGCTACGTGATCAAGTTGCTCAAAGACCTTAACCTTCATTATCTATGTGCCTACAGATCTTAAGCTACATGAGTTTCTAGAATTTAGAAGATGTTTCTTTCCTAATAGTAAACTCAGACTTTGTGCAAAAATTCTAAAATGTTCACTTTTCTTCAGGTACTTAGTCCCTAACTAGATAAGTTTTATAGGAATAACAATGTGAGAGAAGACATTTCAATATAAAGTGATAAATATCATGACTGAGTAGTATTAGATGATGATATGAGGATTTATTAGGAGGTTCAGTCAGTTTTTGGAGATTAGATAATACTTGTCAGATGGTATAGTATCTACATTAAGATTTGAATGATGAATGGGAACTAGATAGAGAAATAAATGCAAAATGTGTTCTGGTATGGGGGAACATCATTTGCAAAGGCCTGGAGTTTACTGAAGCAGAACAGACTCAAAGCCGGAAAAGGCGTTTCCTGAAGTTGAAATACTTTGTTGAGAAGAATTTGATGAAAGATGTGGCTGGAGGCTCTGAGGGAGTAATTGATCATTTCAGGAATTCTGAACATTATGCTCCCCATTCTTGTAATAATAATAAATGAATAATAGTGAAAGTCGTGTTTTTCTTTTTGGCTGCTATGGAAACGCGTTGTCAGTGTTCACAAAAGCAGTAGAGTTAAGCTTAGCTAAACCAGTCAGAGCCCTTAATCAAATCTGTATGACTGACAAGCAAGCCTAATCCCAAATGGAGCCTGCATAGCCAGCAGCTGGAGGAGGGAGATTGTTCTCCTTTGAGCAAAGTAGTTCAAAGGGACTTTGGATCTTTTTTTTTTTTTTTTGTAAAGATTTATTTATTTTAATTGAATGAATAACAGAGAAGGAAAAACACAATGAAAGAGAGATCTTCCTCTGCTGGTTCGCCCCCTAAATGGTCACAATAGCCATGACTGGGCCAGGCCAAAGCCAGAAACCTGGAACGCTGTCTGGGTCTCCCACATGGGTAGAGAGGCCCAAAGACTTGGACCATCATCCTGTGATCTCCCAGATGCGTTAGCATAGTGCTGGATTGGAAGTAGAGCAGCCATGACTCAAACCAGTGTTAATATGGGATGCCGGTGTTGCTGATGGTGGGTGGCTCAGTCCCTAGGACTTTGAATCTTGATCTTGAACCCAACACACTTAATTTGTGACTCCCAAAATTTGAATGTATTTATTATCAAAATATTTGCTGCTCCACTTTGTTGTGCATTAAGATTAACCATAGTATTTTAGCATTTTGATGAAAACATTCTACCTATGTTCAAAATCCAGGCTTTTGGAATCTCAGAAATGCAGCAACTATTACTGTGAGATAATAATAATAGCTGTACATGAGCAATTACTAAGCATTCTTCTAATGGGTGTGAATCCATATATCCTGCTCTCAGGATCCTTGAGTAATTAATGCATGTCGTATATTGTTGTGGTGTTACTACTTTCCTCTTGCAAAAGAGAAACACAAGACATGATAGATAGTTCCCTGCTCAATGTATGTAGCCGTAAGTGACGATGTGTATCGAAACTCAGATAGATCTGGCCCCAGGAAATTCTGTCTAAACTAGCACAGCATGAAGCATTTTGCTTTGAAGAAAGATCTATCGTAAGAAACCAAGATTGGAATTTGATATAAACATTGGTATGGTGTAGATGATAAGGACCAGGATTGCTGTCTAACTGTTCTCCTTTTGTAACCATTATGTTACAGTTTATCAACATCATGTGTTCCCTGTTTGGAGGTTCTGGGATTGCTTACTTGTCTGATTCACAGAAAGTGCATGACTCTTGAGTCTCATGAATATATTTTGTCTATTTCTAGTCTAAGTTATAGTAAAACAGAAGATGAAACAAGAACACATGTTTTAAGCATCAAGAAAGTTACTCCAGAGGATCTCAAGCGCAACTATGTCTGTCATGCTAGAAATGCCAAAGGCGAAGTTGACAAAGCAGCCAAGGTGAAACAGAAAGGTAATGGATGCACTCAGTGGATGGATCTGTGAAAACCAAATGTAATAAGTGAATGAGGAAAAAGGAGAAATTGAGACTAGTAGTTCTTCAGCACCTAGCATATTTTACAGATAGTAATAAATCAAAGTTGAATGAAAAATCTTAGAAGTTTCCATCTGTGCAGTGATGCTCAAAATATTGTTGTGGTTAGTAATTTAGCACCCAAATGTGCCTAAAAATATTTGGTGATTATAATAATAATGTATAAATTTATATCTATATAATCATGAAAATGAAAAATAAAGAAAATATTCCAGACTACCAAGGATATAATCAAATTTACAGAGTGACACATCATTGGTGTGTTATACAGATCCTTTTAGAAATCATTGGTGCCATACTGCATGGCATACTACTTTTGGAATATTTCCTGAGCAAATAACAGAAATTTGATATTATTAGAAGCAATATCTATAATAATGAAGTATTATACATAGTAATCATCTAAATATATGCATGTAGTTAAGTAATGCATAAGATGTTCTCATAAAAATAACGTCAGCATTATAATTTTGAACACTGTGTGTCAAGAATCATACATGTTTATAATATACCACTAGCTACAATTGCTAAAGTGAAAACTATTTAAACCATTGTTTTAAATGTTGTAAAAATTATTTCTATGTTAAAATTACTATATTTTATAAAATAATAAAAAAATATAAAGCCTTCTTTTGTGAGCTGTTGCTCTTAAACAGATTGTGTCTAAACTACTTTTTGGGTCTGTTCCTGAACACCGAATCCCAGACTATTAATCCCTGCAAAAGTATTTCAGTGATCTGGAAAAAAGGAGTGATGACTTCCTACACATTCAGACAGGTTATTCAGGATCCTCCTTGATTAGTCAATGATGGAGTCTGTATGTCTGTCATGTATATGTAAACATTTACATCAAAATCTAAAAAAAAAAAAAAAATTAATTCATGATTGTTACATTTTGCAGTGGGACTTAATTTTTTTAAAGATGACAAGCAGGGCCGGCGCCGCGGCTCAATAGGCTAATCCTCCGCCTAGCGGCGCCGGCACACCGGGTTCTAGTCCCGGTCGGGGCACTGGATTCTGTCCCACTTGCCCCTCTTCCAGGACAGCCCTCTGCTGTGGCCAGGGAGTGCAGTGGAGGATGGCCCAGGTGCTTGGGCCCTGCACCCCATGGGAGACCAGGAAAAGCACCTGGATCCTGGCTCCTGCCATCGGATCAGCGCGGTGCGCCGGCCGCGGCGGCCATTGGAGGGTGAACCAACGGCAAAGGAAGACCTTTCTCTCTGTCTCTCTCTCTCACTGTCCACTCTGCCTGTCAAAAAAAAAAAAAAAAAAGATTACAAGCAAACAGGACCCATGCCGACATTTCATGACACTGTAGAAAGTAAAGAGCAAAGACCTGCAGTGTATAATACCTCATGAGAAGTTTTAGTGGATTCATTAAGGAAAATCCATTGCTTCTGCTCCTTGAAACCACTGTATTGAGACAGGGTTCAAGTACATGTTGGGCGGTTTCCCAATGTCACTTCCTAAGAACACTGCTAAGAACTGTTGTACTGCAATGCATTATTTGTGCCCTATGGACAGGTAGCTTGTTGAAATTCCAGTCTATGCATCAGATTTATTTAATTTTGAAAAAAAAAAAGTCACTTAATTTCTTTGAGCTTCAATTTTTATAAATTAAATAAATAAAATAAAACCATTGTCACATAAGCTGGTTTTCAAGAGCTCAGCCTGGTTACTGGCATATATATAATCCTATTAAATGCTCAATAAATATTAGCTCTTACTGTTTCCACAAGCTGTTTCCTAGATGGCATTTGACGAAGGCTTGTATAGTCAAATAAGTGTCATTATAGTCTATATAAAACAAGTCAATTAATTACTTTAGTTCAGGATTCTTAGAGTGTTTCATATATTAACATTTGGTGTGGTTATCTGCAAGGGTTTTCATTATAGCAGACAGGATATTTTCATAAATGTTTGATTCCAGATTTCTTAAATAAGGAGTATCTTGTGAATTCATCTTCTGAGATGTGTATTCTGGGGAACAGTTATGGGGGATGACATAAATAAGTTATTGTCAAGGACAGTACCAATACATTGTATTAAAATACTGTTTTATGTAGGAGTGAAGCGTGAGTCTGCCCAGCAAAGCTAGTTACGTAACCCCCTTGCCTAGAAGCCCCTTCAGTAAGTGTTGTAGTGTGGTCAGTGTCAGGCATGAGAAGTGATGAGTGGGTCCTCTAGGCCAGATGACCTGTCCTCACTGCTGACCCATGATCCAGTCAGGTCTGTGTCCATCATGGCACCACAGGAGTTGTAGCTTTGGTTACTGAGCTTCCATACTGAGGCTGCTGATGCTGACATTCAGAGGTGGTGTCTGAGTTCATGTGCGTACCTTACACTGTGGGTCCTTCTTTGAATTCATTCACAAAACAGCCTATGTACTTTATGAAGGACGTGACAGGAAGGCATTCCCGCCTGGAAAAAGGATTTATCTGGATAGGTTCTAATGACAGCACAATTCAGTCTAGTTAGTTAAAACAAAGAAGCAGCTAATGTAACCATACTAAACAGTTACGTTATAATAGGAGAGTGGTAGGGACCAAGGAGCTGTCTTACTTATTTCCCAAAGGGCGTAACCCGTTTACACTTCCACTAGCAATGTTTATCAACTGCAGAAGTTCTATTTCCTTATCAACTTTTTGAGTTGTCAAACTTAAATTTCAACCATAGTAATAATATGCAGTGGTTCACACTGTGTTTTCCTTTGCATTTCCCCCAATAATAATAAATTTGAGCATTTATCCATGATCATTAATTAATATTTCTTTTGTAAAATATCCATTACAATATTAAGTCATTTTAGTGTTGGATTGTTTGCTTTTTAATTCAGTGTGTTATAATAGGATGGACACACCTGCGCAAGTCTGTTGCCACGTATGTGTCTTCTCAATATTTTCACTCATTTTGTGAATTCATTTTCATTTGATGAGAATTTTTGAAAACTTGATGGAGTTCATTTTCTGTTTCTACTTTTGTGATTAATGCTTTCTAGAACTTGTGTTATCAAATGTTCTAACCTTAACAAATCTAGAAAGATTGTCTCATTTATTTTCTTATGGAATATAAGTATATTTTTATTCTTTAATAGTTTAACCTATGATCTATTTAAAAATATTTTCTTTATGATGTGAAATATGGGTTACAGTTTAGTGCTCTGTTTTGTTTTTCCATAAAAATAACCAGTTGTTTCACTGTTATATTGAAAAATTGTTTTTTGTTGTTGTTGAATTAACTTTGAAAACTTGAAAACATAATCAATGACTCTTTGAGAGGGGTCTTTTTCTGCTTTCCTCACTTTGTTTTGTGTAATGCTTATCTTTATCCTAATACTACTTTATCTTGATTAACAAACTTTTTTTTTTTAGAGAGCACTTTTTTTTAAAGATTTATTTATTTATTTGAAAGTGAGAGTCACACAGAGAGAAGAGAGGCAGAGAGAGAGAGAGAGAGAGAGAGAGAGGTCTTCCATCTGATGGTTCACTCCCCAATTGACTGCAACAGCCGGAGCTGTGCAGATCCAAAGCCAGGAGCCAGGAGCTTCCTTTGGGTCTCACACGTGGGTTCAGGGGCCCAAGGACCTGGGCCACCTTCTACTACTTACCCAGGCCATAGCAGAGAGCTGAATAGGAAGTGGAACAGCCGGGACTCAAACCGGTGCCCATATGGGATGCCAATGTCTCAGGCCAGGGAGTTAACCCGCTGTGCCACAGCGCTGGCCCTGATCAACAAACTTTTAAAGTAAGTCACAAAGTCAGATATTGTATGTCCTCCTCCATTTTCTTTCTCAAGATTGATTTGACTATTTTAGGGTCCATTTCATCCCCACAAAACATAGAAATGCAATAATTTGATTTTTATATTTTGATCTTGACATTTTGATCTTTCCAATTTGCTAATTACTGGTTTTTTGCTTCTTTTATTTCTTTGGAGTTTTCTACAAACTTGATTCTGTGACTCATAAATAGCTCTTTCCTTCTTCCTTTTCCAACTTTATGCTTGATGATGTGACTGTTTACTTCCCATTTTTGACCTCTAGCATACTGATCATTTGCAATTACAAGAGTGGCCAGCTTTGCATTATTTCCAAATTGAGAGAAAGAATTCAGTTTTTATGTATTAAATGTAATCCTACTTGAAGGAATTTTTTTACAGATGGCATTTATCTATGAGAAGTATTGATCTACATTTGGTTTGCTAAGACTTTTTTTAATGTGTATGTTGAATTTTGTTGAAGATATATCATATGATTTTTCATTTATTAGTCATTGTGATAATTACACTGATTAATTTTGAAATAATCAACCAGTCTTGCATTCCTGTAATAAACTCCTGTATTTTTATGATTTATTGTCCTTTTATACTGTTAGATTTGATTAGCTAATCATATTTGCTCCCATGTAGGAATTTTTTCTTTAATTATGAGAGATATTTAATTGCCATTTTGTTTGCTTATTGCTTCTGTCAACATCATGCTAACCTCATGATTTGATTTGAATAATGTTCCTTGTTTTACTGTTTTCTGAAAGCCTGTGTATAAAATTGGTATTATTTCTGGGTAACATTTTTGAAAGAATTACTCATGTAACTGTGTGGACCTGATATTTTCTTTATGGGAAGCTTTCAATTATAAATTCAGTTTCTTTAGCCATTATTCAGATTTTGTGTTTCTTCATGTTGCATTTTAGAATTTGCTTTTCAATGGAATTTTCTTCTTTTGTCTAAGGAAATTTTTCATTTCATCTAAATTGTCATTTTATTACCATACTTTTTTTTGGCATTATTTGCTTTTTCTCCTTTCAATGTCCACATGATCCTTGGAGAACCTCCACTCCCATTCCTGATATTAGTAATTTTTGCTTTCATCATTTTTTTTTCCTCTGGGTCATTCAAGATAAGGATGTCCAAATTTTACTAATTTTTTTCTATGTATAAGCATGATTAATTTGATTTCTCTTTATTGTTTGTATGTTTTTTAAATATGTTCATCTTTACTTCTGTATTATTTTCTTCTTTTGGCTTAGCTTACATTTAATTCGTTTTTCATTTTGCATCACCTTAAAGTGAAATTTGAGATCACTGATTAAAGTAATTCTTCTTTTCAAATATAACTATTCAGAGATATGAATTTCTCTCGTAGAAATACTTTAACTAATACAAGAAATATCAAAATGTTGAACATTCATTATTCACTTCAAAGCATTTTCTAATTTTCCTTTTTTAAAAAACTATGGATTACATAGAAACATGTTAATTTGTATATATTTGAGGGATTTCTTCATCTTTTAATTATAGTATGTGGGAAATTTTATTTAAATTTTAAAACTGACTTTGTGTTAAGTCACTTTTGATAAAGTAATTTGCAGTATTTTATATTGTCCTTTACATTTTGGTAATTAAAACAGTTAGCAGTCAAATGAAGTCAGGAATGGGAATTTGCAGACAGAACTACCTGAGAATGGTATTTCTAATGTATGATAGAGTGGGAAGGACATAGGATTTGCTTCTCTTTTTTATTTCTATAATATTATTTTGTTTATTCTTACATGAATATTAATCAAATTTATTACAACGATACCAGTTTCCACATCACTGTTTCTTAAAATATCAAATTTGTGTTTTCATCTTTATATTTTATATCTTACACTCTTTTACTCTTTTTAACTCATAGTTAGAATTGGCAAAAGCCACTCCTTATACTTGTGTATGGATGGGATAAAATAAAGACAATATATCATGAGACGTTTCCAGGAACTTCATGTCTATCATTCTTTGAACCTACTTCCTGAGAAAAGGAGTTCCATACAAAAGACACAATTCTTGAACTCTTAAAGTCTTCACACACCAGGGCAGAAAAGTCATCTCGAACTTTTCCACAGTGGAAGCTGAATCATAAAACTAAAGCAGATAAAATTATGGTTATCTCTGGGGGAAAAAGAATATACCTATTGAAAGAGATCTAGGATAGTGCAAGGAAGACAAGGGACAGCCAGAAGGAAACTATGCAAAAGACATCTCTGAGAACTATCACCTCAATTGATATTGGCTTTCCTGTTACTAATTCCTTTTTTATGTGCTTAGTTTTAAATATTAAATCCCCCCCATATAAAATGGACTTCAGTTTCACCATGGCATTGGGCCCTAACCCCTGCAAATGATAGTCAGCCTCTACATATGTATTTTATTTTATGTTATGTGCTCTTTGCTCATGCTTTTTTTTTTTTTTAAGATTTATTTATTTATTTGAAAGTCAGAGTTACACAGAGAGAGGAGAGGCAGAGAGAGGTCTTCCATCCGATGGTTCACTTTCAGATGGCCGCAACGGCTGGAGCTATGCCAATCTAAAGCCAGGAGCCAGGAGCTTCTTCTGGGTCTCCCACATGGGTGCGGGGTCCAAGGACTTGGGCCATCTTCTACTGCTTCCCCAGGCTATACCAGAGAGCTGGATTAGAAGAGGAGCAGCCAGGTCTCAAACTGGTGCCCATATGGGATGCCGGTGCTTCAGGCAAGGGCATTAACCCACTGCGCCACAGCGCTGGCCCCGCTCATGCTTTCTATTTTTCTTTCCCCCCCATCCATTATTTTTATTTGTTTATTTTGTTTAAGGAACACAACTTCATGCATTTAATATATACATATTTGTGAACATGATGCTCTCCTCCCTTCCACCCTTACTCTCACCTTTCTTCCTCCTCCCTCTTCCTTTCCTATTCTTATTTTTATAGAGATCAATTTTCAGTTAATTTTTATGCTTATAAGGTTAACCCTACACTAAGTATAGAGTTCACCAATTATTATGAAGAAAAAGAAGTAAAGAACAAAAACAAGCAAATAAGAAAAACACTGTTCCCTGACTGTCAAGGCAAGTGCTGTTCAAAGTCATCACATCTCAAAGTGTCATTTTCACTCCTATAGTTTCGCTTCCTACATTTTAAGTACTCTACCAGTTACCACAGATCAAAGAGACCATATGGTATTTGTCTTTTTGTAACTGGCTTACCTCACTAAGTAGAATGGTTTTTAGTTGCATCCCTTTTGTTGCAAATGACAGGAATCAATTTTTTAACTCTTGTGTAGTATTCCATAGTGTATCTATACCAAAATTTCTTTATCCAGTCTTCAATTAATGGATATCTGGGTTGATTCAACATCTTAGTTATTATAAATTGAGCTGAAATGAATATGGGGGAACAGATAACTCTTTCATTTGCTGATTTTATTTCCTATGGATAAATTCCCAGGAGTGGGATGGCTGGGTCATAAAGTAGGTCTATTTTCAGCTTTCTGATATATTTCCACATTGTCTTCCACAGTGGCTGTACCAGTTTCCATTCCCACCAAAAGTGGATTAAGGTTTCCTTCTCCCCACATCCTCAACAACATTTCTTGTTTGTTGATTTCTGTGAGAGCCATTCTAAATGGGGTGAGATGAAACCTCATTGTGCTTTTGATTTGCATTTTCCTGATAGTTAGTGATCCTGAACATTTTTTTTCATGTATCTATTGGCCATTTAAATGTCCTCTCTTGATAACTGTCTATTCAGGTCCTTTGCCCATTTGTTAATAGGATTGTTTGTTTTGTTGTTGTTGAGTTTTTTGATCTCTTTGTATATTCTAGTTCTTAAACATTGATCAGTTGTATAGTTTGCAAATATTTTCTTCTATTCTGTTGGTTGCCTCTTTACTTTGCTGTTTCTTTTGCAGTGCAGAAGCTTTGCAGTTTGATGCAGTTCCACTTTTTAATTTTAGTTTTGATTGCCTGTGCTTCTGGTGTCTTTTCCAAGAAGTCTTTCCATAGTACAATGTCTTGTAGGGTTTCCCCAATGTTCTCTAGTAATTTGAGGATATCACCTCATAGATTTAGGTCTCTGAGCCTTTTTGAGTGGATTTTTGTGTAAAGTGTGCGATAGGGGTTTTTCTTTCCTACTTTTGCATGTGGAGATCCAGTTTTCCAAGTACCATTTGTCTACACATTTCTTTTTGTGCCAGTATCATGCTGTTTTGAATATAAACGCCCTGTAGTATATCTAGAGGCCTGGTATGGTGATGCTTGCAGCTTCGTTTTTGTTGTTTGAAACTGCTTAATCTAATTGGGGTCTCTTGTGTTTCCATATTAAGTTTAGCATCATTTTTTCTAGATCTGAGAAGAATGTTGTTGGTATTTTGATTGGTATCACATTGAATCTTTAAACTGCCTTTGGTAGTATGGACATTTTGAAGATGTTGATTCTTCCAATCCATGAACAAGAAAGATTTTTCCACTTTTTATGTCTTCTTCTATTTCTTTCTTTAATGTTTTGGAATTTCCATCATAGAGATCTTTGATATCCTTGGTTAAATTTATCCCAAGGTATTTCAATTTTTATAATAGCTATTGTGATGGGATTGATTTTAGAAGTTCTTTCTTAGCTATGGCATTGTCTGTGTCTACAAAGGCTGTTGATTTTTGTGTGTTGGTTTTATATCCTGCTACTTTACCAAGCTCTTTTATGAATTCCAATAGTCTGTGGAGTTTTTTGGGTTTCCTATATATAGAGTCATGTCATCAGCAAATAGGGATAGTTGAACTTCTTCCTTCCCTATTTGTATCCCGTTGATATCTTTTTCTTGCCTGATGGCTGTGGCTAAAACAACCAGGAATATATTAAATAGCTGTGGTGAAAGTAAGCATCCTTGTTTGTTTCTGGATCTTAATGTGCATTCCTCCATTTTTTTCCCCATTCAGTACAATGCTGATGTGGATTTGTTTTAAATTGCTTTCATTATGTTTTTTTAATTTATTTTTTAAGGAATACAAATTTCATAAGTACAACTTTAGGAATATAGTTATTCTTCCCACCATACCTGCCATCCCACCCACTCTCTCATCCCTCCTTCTCCTCCTCCCTCCCCCTTGCCAGTCCCATTCTCCTTTAAGCTTTGTTTTCAATTAACTTTCTACACAGAAGACCAATTCTATACCAAGTAAAGATTTCAACAATTTGCACACAAACACACACAAGCTGTTTGAGAACTAGTTTTACAGTTAACTCTCCTAATATAACAAAATGAGGGCACAGGTCCTGCACGTGGAGTTAATGTACAGTAACTCTTGTTGTTAATTTAACAATTAACAATCTTATGTATGCATTCAGTGGGCACCCAAGGTTATTGACATGAGCTGCCTGGGCTGTAGAAGCCTTTTGAATCCACAATCTCCATCAGTATTTGGAGAAGGCCATAAGCAAAATGGGGGTTCTCTCCTCCCTTCAGAGTAAAGTACATCCTTCTCTGATGGCCACTTTTTTCCACTGGGGTCTCACTCACAGAGAGTCTTCATGTAGAACATTATTTTGCCACAGTGTCTTAACTTTCCGTGCCTAAAATGCTCTTAAAGGCTTTTCAGCCAGACAAGGAAGCCTTAAGGGCTGATTCTGAGGTCAGATTGTTACTTAAAGCAATTAGCACTCTCTAAGTCTGTTGTGTGGACTCTTTCCCATATTGGGACATTCCCTGAATTTTAATTCTATCTACTATTATTACCAGACACTTGATCTTATTTATATGATCACTTTAACACTTAATGCTATCTGTATGTTCACTTTAGCACTTAATATAATCACTTTAACACTTAAGATGGCATTTTTACCACCAAGCTTAATGAGATTTGGGGTCCCCTGACAAGTTTTTAAACTCTGCTCTTAGAAACAAGTCTTGAGGAATGTGTGCAGAACTATACAACTTTGCAGTTACAAACTTCCTTCTCCCTCTCTTATCCCCACTCTGTTTTTTTACTGAGATCTATTTTCAATTGATTTTATACACATACGATTAACTCTATGTAAAGTAAAGTAAAGGCCATAAGCGACAAATACTATGAAGGAAAACAAACAAACAAACAAACAAATGAAACTGTTCCTTGACAGTCAAGACAAGGGCAGCTCATGTCATCTGTTCTCAAATTTCAGTGTCACTCCTACATATTTAATTTTAGGAGCTCTGTTAGTTCTCACAGATCAAGGAGACATATGGTATTTGTCCCTTTGGGACTGGCTTATTTCATTAAGTATGATGTGATGTTTTCCAGATTTATCCATTTTGTTGCAAATGGCCAGATTTCATTTTTTTTAACCACTGTGTAGTATTCCATAGTGTACATATCCCATAATTTCTTTATCCGGTCTTCAGTTGATGGGCATTTAGGTTGATTCCATGTCTTAGCTATTGTGAATTGAGCTGCAATAAACACTGAAGTGCAGATAGCACTGTTGTTTACTGATTTCATTTCCCTTGGGTAAATTTCCAGGATTGGAATGGCTGGGTCAAATGGTAGCTCTATATTCAGATTTTAGAGGTAACTCCATACGGACTTCCATAGTGGCTTTACCAGTTCACATTCCCACCAACAGTGGATTTGGTTACCTCTTTCCTCACATCACTGCCAGCATTTGTTTGTTGATTTTTGTATGAAAGCCATTCTAACTGAGGTGAGGTTAAACCTCATTGTGGGTTTGATTTGCATTTCCTTGACAGCTAGTGATCCTGAACATTTTTTCATGTGTCTGTTGGCCATTTGGATTTCCTATTTTGAGAAATGTCTGTAGTTAAAGTCCTTTGCTCATCTCTTAACTAGGTTGTTTGTTTTATTGTTGTAGAGTTTCTTGATCTCCTTGTATATTCTAGTTATTAATCCTTTACCAGTTGCATAGTTTGCAAATAATTTCTCCCATTCTGTCGGTTGCTTCTTCATTTTCCTGATTGTTTCTTTTGCCGTACAGAAACTTCTCAATTTGATGTAATCCCATTTGTTAATTTTGGCTTTGACTGCTTGTGCCTCTGTGGTCTTTTCCAAGAACTCTTTGCCTGTGCCAATGTCTTTCAGGGTTTTCTCAATATTGTCTAATAATTTGATGGGGGTGGGTCATAGATTTAGATCTTGAATCCATGTTGAGTGGATTTTTGTGTAAGGTGAAAGGTAGGGGTTTTGCTTCATACTTCTGCATGTGGAGATCCAGTTTTCTCAGTACCATTTGTTGAAGAGACTGTACTTGCTCCAGGGATTGGTTTTAGCCCTTTGGTCAAATATAAGTGGGTTGTAGATGTTTGCATTGATTTCTGGTGTTTCTATTCTGTTCCATTGGTCTACCCATATATTTTTGTATCAGTACTAGACTATTTGATTCCAACTGCCCTGTGGTATGTCTAGAGGTATGGTATTGTTATACCTAGAGCTTTATTTTTGTTGTATAAGATTGCTTTAGCCATTCTAGGATTCTTGTGCCTCCGTATGAATTTCAGCATCATTTGTTTTGCATTGAATCTGTAAATTGCTTTCAGAAGAATGGACATTTTGATGATATTAATTCTTCCAATTCATGAACATGGAAGATTTTGCCATTTTTTGTATCTTCTTCTATTTATTTCTTTAATGTTTTGTAATTTTCATCGTAGAGATCTTTGACATCCTTGGTTAAATTTATTCCAAAGTATTTGATTTTTTGTAGCTATTGTAAATGGGATTGATCTTAGAAGCTCAGTCTCAGCCTTAGCATTGTCTGTGTATAGAAAGGCTGTTGATTTTTGTGTCTTGATTTTACATCCTGCTACTTTACCTAACTGTTCTTTGAGTTCCAATAGTCTCTTAGTGGAGTCATTTGGATTCCTTATGTATAGAATCAAGTTATCTGCAAATAGGGATAGTTTGACATCCTCCTTCCCAACTAGTATGCCTTTGATTTCTTTTTCTTGCCTTATGGCTATGGCTAAAACTTCCAGGACTATATTCAATAGCAATGGTTAATGTGGGCATTCTTGTCTGGTAACTGATTTCAGTGGAAATGCTTCCAAATTTTTCCTATTCAATATGACACTGGCCAAGGGTATGTCGCAAATTGCCTTGATTGTGTTAAGGAATGTTCCTTATATCCAATTTGCTTAGAGTTTTCTTCATGAAAGCATTTTATCAAATGCTTCCTCTGTGTCTATTGATATAGTCATATGGTTGTTGTTCTGCAATTTGTTAATGTAGTGTATCATATTGATTTGTGAATGTTGTACCATCCCTGCATACCAGAGATAAATCCTACTTGGTCTGGGTGCATGATCTTTCTGATGTGTTGTTGGGTTTGATTGGCTAGAATTTTGTTAAGGATATTAGCATCCATGTTCATCAGGGAAATTAGTCTGTAATTCACTTTTTCTATTGCATATTTATTAGGTTTGGGAATGAAGGTGATGCAGGCTTCATAGAAGGAGTTTGGGAGGATTACTTCCTTTTCAATTGTTTTGAATATCTTGAGAAGAACTGGAATTCTTTCATTATGTTGAGAAAGATTCCTTCTATACCTACTTAGTTTAAGGTTTTCATTTTAAAATGGTGTTGAATTTCACCAAATGCTTTCTCTGCATCTATTAAGATAATCATACGGTTCTTGGTCTTCAGCTTTTTAATGTGCTTAATCATTTTTATTGATTTTCAGGTATTGAACCATCCCTGCATACCAGGAATAAAACCCAATTGTTCCAGGTGAATAATCTTTCTGATATGTTCTTTGATTTGATTGACAAGTATTTTGTAGAGAATTTTTCTGTCTATGTTCATGAGGGATATTGGTCTATAGTTTTCATTCTCTATCATATCTTTTTCTGGCTTAGGAATGAAGGTGATGTAGGCTTCATAGAAGGAGTTTGGGAGGATTCCCTCCCTTTCAATTGTTTTGAATAGCTTGAGAAGAATTGGAATTAGTTCTTCTTTAAATATCTGGTAGAATTCAATAGTGAAGCCATCGGGACCTGGGCTTTTCTTTCTTGAAAGGGTCTTTGTTACTAATTCGATCTTTGTCTTAGTTATTGGTCTATTTAGATGTTCTGTCTTCATGACTCACTTTAGGTAGGTTGTCTGTGTCCAGGAATCTATCCATTTCTTCTAGGTTTCCCAATTTGTTGGCAAACAGCTCTTTGTAGTAATTCCTAGTGGTTCTTTTTATATCTGTGGTATCTTTTGTTACATTTCCTTTTTCATCTCTGATTTTGTTTATTTGGGTCTTTGTTTTTTTTTTTAATTTCTCTTTTGGTTTCTTTTATTGCCCACTGTTCATTTAACAGCATGTTGTTCAATCTCCATGTGTTTGTATATGTTCTTGAGATTATTGAGTTGTTGGTTTTGAGCTAAAATCCATGTGATCAGAGAAGGTACATGGCATGATTTTGATTTTTTTGAATTTGCTGTGGCTTTTTTATGGCCTAGTAGATGGTCTATCCTAAAGAAATCTCCATGCACTTCTGAGAAGACTGTGTATTCTGCAACTGTGGGGTGAAAAGTTCTGTAGCTATCAGTTCCGTCTTTTTGGTCCATAGTGTCAATTAGTTCTGTTTCTTTGTTGATTTTCTGTCTAGTTCATCTATCCATTGATGAAATTAAAGTGTTGAATTCCCCTGTTACTATTGTATTGGAGTCTATGTCTCCCTTTAGATCCTTTAGCAAGTCTTTTAATTTGCCAGGCACCCTGTAATTGGGTGCATATGCATTTGTTATAGTTATGTCTTCCTGTTGTATTGATCACTTAATCATTACATAGTGCCCTTCTTTGTCTTTTTACACAGTTTTTATTAAAGTCTATTTTATAAGATATTAGGATGGCTACAGCAGCCTTTTATTCTTTTCCATTAGCTTGGAATATCTTTTCCATCCTTTCACTTTCAGTCTATATGTACCTTTGTTGGGGAGGTCTGTTTCTTGTAGGCAGCAAATATATGGGTCTTGTTTTTTAATCCGTTTGGTTAGTCTGTGTGTTTTAATTGGAGAATTGAGGCCATTGCATTAAAGGTAACTATTGATAAGTAAGTATTTGGCTGTGTCATTTTTCCATGAATAATACTATCATTTACTTTGGATTTCTTTTGTACTTTTACAGGTGGATTTTCTGTCTTCACATTCTTTCATGATGGTGGGTTTCTTTCTGTGTTTCTATGTGTAACACAACCTTTAGCATATTTTGTAAAGCTGGACATGTGGTGACAAATTCTTTCAATTTCTGTTTGTTACGGAAGGTCTTTATTTCATCTTGGTTCATAAGTGAGAGCTTTGCAGCAAACAGTATTCTAGGTTGACAATCTTTTTCTCTTAAGATTTGAACTATTTCTTGCCATTGTCTTCTGACCTATAGGATTACAGCTGTGACTGTAATTGGAGATACTCTGAAGGTTATCTGGCATTTCTCTTGTACACATTTTAGAATGTTTTCTCTATACTTTACTGTAGAAAGTTTGACTACAGTGTGTCATGGTGGAGATCTTTTTTGGTCATATCTGTTAGGAGTTCAGTGTGTTTCCTGTATTTGGACCTTCCTTTCTTTCTCTAAGCTAATGAAGTGATCTATAATTATTTCACTAAGTAGGCCTTCTATTCCCTTTTCTTTTTCTACTCTTTCAGACACTGCTAAGACCTGTGTCTTGGGTTGTTTAATAGTATTCCAAATATCTCCAACACCGTTTTAAGTTTTCTAATTTCTTCTTCTTGTTTTTGGTCCTGTCCTCCCACCCAGAGTCAAAGCCAGTGGGGGATGTGGGTTTTTCTCTCTGGTAAGATCTCTGCATCACAGGTGTGCACAATACCTGCCAGCTGCAGCCCTGCTTACTTTGGAATTGTGTTGGGCACATAGGAGAGTCCCCCAGGCTGCACTTCCCTTCCATAGGGATGGCTGCCCCGCCCCTCCCTTTGCCAGGTGGGTGCAACTGGCACAGTGGAGACTGTCTCCATCAGTTGCTCTCCAATGCCATGGAGGGCAACTGGGTGGGAGGTGACAATTGTTGGTGGACCCGAAAATTACTGGGTGCATGCACACAAGCTGTGGCTGTGGCTAAGTGCTTATGTCTAAATGTGGTGCCAACCTTCCCATCACTGGTTGCAGGCTGCTTTTATAGGAGGGAGAAGAGGAAAGAGAGAGAGAGAGCTGCTCTCCCCACAGTGGTGAGCACTCACCCTGCTATCCTGGGGGATCGGGTGGAGTGGCTCCTCTTGCACTCCTAGACGCTCAGAGCCCTGGGTGTTGAAAGCAAGAAAACACATTGATTGTATGAGACAAGACTGGGTGTAGCTGGGATCTGGGCAATCACAGAGTATTGCTGCACACTCTCAGTGCTCCTTGGTTGCTTAGAGCAGCTCACAGAGAGGGAACAGTGCTCACAGGAGGGGCTGCACAGATTAAATATACAGTTTATACGGTGGTGCTAATGAGTGTTGAATACAAGGGGGCTATCACCTGGGCATCCCTCAGCTTGAAGGAGAAGGAGTGGTTAAACCAACAGAGGTGACCATTCCTCTCCATCCACTCAAAAAGGTACAGTTCTCTAAGCTCTCCCTCCCACTATATCAACAGTGGTGTGGGCACATAGAGTCCAATCTCTCCTGGTTTGACAGGGCAGCAACCTTCTTTCCTGGATCCAAGCTGCTGGGTCTTCTGTTGTCTCATTGCACCTTGCTGCGTGTCTGCACATTCTGCACTGGTCCGGGCTGTTTCTACTGCTTTCACAGGATCTCCCAATGCAGTTTCCCCTGCAGCCTTAACCTAAGAGTGTACCTTCTCCACTTTTTTGTATTAATTTAACCATGAGTAAATCAGATCACCCTGTCACTATTCTGCCATCATGGAACCCAGATTTACTTCTCAACAGACTTGGGTTCAAGTCCTGACTTTCTATATTCATTGGTCAACTACATCAAATGGTGTCGGTTTTCTTTAATTATGTTGTTTTTTGTGTCCTAAGGAAGGTTTACATGTCACAAAATCTTGAAATTTCACCTTCTATTTAAATCTGTTATCCATCTGAAATTTGTGTGTGTGTGTGTGTGTGTGTGTGAATGGTGAGAAATAAAAATTAAAGTTTGGTTTTCATTTCATATCAGTATCCAGTGCTTCCATCATAAATATGAGGTTGAAAGTTTTCGTGTATCCTTCTGCCTTCTTTGGTCCCTCAAAGTTTCATTTGAATTTCTCTGGGCTATTATTATATTATAAATAAGTAAATAAATAAACATTTATGATGCAAATTGGGAAGCTTGTTTTGTGTTGTTTTGTTCTGTTTATTGTTCCCCTTTGTATGGCTTGTCACTTTTTATTTAGCAGGTGTTAATATTTTCTTCTTTATTGATTTTGAACAGTTATGGTATCCTTGTGTGGTTTTATTAACATGTATCTTATTTAAAGTTCATTAAACTTCCTGGTCTGTGTGTTTATGTTTTTCAATTAGTGTGAAAACTTTTCGCCAAGATTTCTGCAAGTATATTGTGTTGCCCCTCACTGCTATTTGTCTTCTTTTAGTACTTCAGGTAGATTTGAATTAGACCATCCCTGCTGGGTAGTAGCTGACAGATCTCTGAGACTCTCATTTTCCTTTCATCCATTCTTGCCCTTTTCTTCCCTCTGTGGATAGTTACTTAATAATGCGCACTGATCATTTCTGTTGTGATGTTTTCCTCAGCGATTTTAATTTCAGAATTGGATTCTTCAGGGTTTGAATTACATTTCCCCATGGAAAATTCTTGATATTTTCTCTTTGCTGTTCAGAATGTCTGTTTTTTTTTTTTGTAAAATTCAACAAATACATTTTATAAATATATCTTTTTAAACTTTTATTTAATGAATATAAATTTCCAAAGTACAGTTTATGGATTACAATGGCTTCCCCCCCATAACTTCCCTCCCACCCGCATCCCTCCTCTTTCCCTCTCCCTCTCCCCTTCCATTCACATCAAGATTCATTTTCAATTAACTTTATATACAGAAGATCAGTTTAGCATACATTAAGTAAAGATTTCAACAGTTTGCACCCACATAGAAACACAAAGTGAAAAATACTGTTTGAGTGCTAGTTATAGCATTAAATTACAATGTACAGCACACTAAGGACAGAGATCCTATATGAGCAGTAAGTGCACAGTGACTCCTGTTGTTGACTTAACAAATTGACACTCTTGTTTATGGCGTCAGTAATCACCCTAGGCTCTTGTCATGAGTTGCTAAGGCTATGGAAGCCCCCTGAGTTCACCGACTCTGATCATATTTAGACAAGGCCATGGTCAAAGTGGAAGTTCTCTCCTCCCTTCAAGAAAGGTACCTCCTTCTTTGATGACCTGTTCTTTCCACTGGGATCTCACTCGCGGAGATCTTTCATTTAGGTCTTTTTTTTTTGGCCAGAGTGTCTTGGCTTTCCATGCCTGAAATACTCTCATGGGAATTTCAGCCAGATCCACATGCCTTAAGGGCTGATTTTGAGGCCGCAGTGCTGTTTAGGACATCTGTCATTCTGTGGGTCTGCTGTGTATCTCACTTCCCATGTTGGATTGTTCTCTCCCTTTTTGATTCTATCAGCTAATATTTGCAGACACTAGTCTTGTTTATGTGCTCCCTTTGGCTCTTAGTCCTATCATCATGAACAATTGTGAACAGAAATTCATCACTGGGACTAGTGAGATGGCATTGGTACATGCCACCTTGATGGGATTTAATTGGAATCCCCTGGTATGTTTCTAACTCTACCGTTTGGGTATTTCTATCATATTTGAGAATTCTGGTTATCTTTATTGTATGATTTTAGCTCTGAATTTTAATTTTTTTGCTTTATTATAGTTTTGTTTTCTTTTTATCATGTGCTAAATACATCAATGAATATCTGCTTTTTTAACAAAATTTTAAGTTTTGTCTAGCAGGTGGTCAATTTACCTGAATAATATTACACTAAAAAAGAATCGTCTTTATCTTTGTTAGATTAGGTCTAAAATAGCCTTTTCTGTAGAGCTAGATTGGACCTACTGGCCTATCTGAAATTTCCACTTACTACTTGAGGAGGTGAACAAACTCTGTTCATTGTCTAGTTCTGCCTTAGTTCCTAGAGTTGTTTCATTCCAAGTAGTTCTTCACCAAGCTTGTAAAATGTGTGTGCGCACACACACACACACACATATACACACACAAACAATCTTGCATTTGGACAATTAGTAACACATGCAAATTTTTGCAGTTTACTTTCTACACGGTTCTTCTCTCTGGTGTCCAGTCCTAAGAATTCAACCCAACTCGATAATCTTAAAATGTAATTTCTGTATCCTTAACTTGGTGTGACTACTGTCTTCTTTTGGCTTTCCTCTTTCTGTGCCACATTCCAGAATGGGTCTTTAGAGAAGTCAGCACAATTATGGGGTTTCTCTTTTTGCTGTCTTTTCCCTCACAGATAGCCCTGATGTGTTGCAAATGGTTTAACATTAAGAAAGAAAAAGATTATTTTAACTATCAGGGAAAGAAGGCAAGTCCAAAATGCACAAGTTTTATCACAAAGTAATAGCAAAACAAGTTCAGGTCTTAAGATCAAGTAGTCATAGGTCTTTGGTTTGCCATCATTTAAATAAACATTTTTTGCTTGCAAATCAGGAAAAGTCTTATTACCTAAGTTCCAAAGAAGAAAAAATTGTCAAGGAGTCTCAGGAGTTTAAAAGGCAGAAGTCACAGTTTCAGTGGCAGCAGGAACTTGAGTATCCAAATAGCTGGTATTTGATTTGGAAAATCAACAGACACCAGGGCTGGAGCCACAGTAATGAAGGTTTAAATCGTAATTTAGATTTCCAAGGAAAAGCACAATTATAGAATGGGAAGTTGAAATAGGATGAAAAACTATAGCTGAGGTTTTGTACTGTTTGATCTAAGGGTGATCAGCTGGAAATTTGTGTATCAGAGCATTTATTACTGTAGAACTGTTAACAGGGTGGAAGGATTTCTGATGCAGGGTGAAATTTGCAAGCAAATGAATAGATTTGCCTGCATCCTGAATCAGATTATTTGTGAAATCAAGGAGAGAAGAAGTTTAGGAGTCCAGTTGGGTCACCTTGCACACCCCTGCCTGATTAGAAAGTCTCTTTTTGGTATTGCATCACAGTTCCAACTGGGGCAGGCAGAAAATATAGGTTAAGGGTCACTCTTTCCCTGTAAACCAACAATGCTTTATGTGAAAGCCTTGTAGAGCTCTTCCTACACACAGCTTCTGCAATTTAGAAAATCAAGCTGATGGATTATTTATCTTAAGAGTCCAATTAGTTAACTAACATTTGGGATTCATTGATATCTAGATGGCTACACAGAATACAGCCTGTAAATATGGCACATGTGACTGTGTCACACAAAACAAAATTGAAAAGCCCCACTAAAAATAAAATAGTAGTAAAATGAATGTGACAGAGAGTAATTTATGGGCATGATTGATCTCATGGTAGTCAAGCAAGATCTCTATTGACTTTTTAAAAAATCGGTTTCAGGAAAGTGCAACCAATAACCTTGCCTTCCCCACATACTAAAAATGTTTATCCAGAGGGAACCAAAATAACTGAGCAAATAAGGAAAATAGCAGTGGAGGTTCACCAGTGTACTGTTAACATCACATGTACGCAGAAGTACAAAAGACAAAGTCATTTTTATGCCAGACACCTGAATTGATCTTAGTAAATTCTCAACTACTGCCCTGACAGTGTTTCTGGCATTTTATGATAGAGCATTTTTAAAGTTTTATTATTCACTGAATGAGTAACAGAGTTTCTGATATAATTATGACTTCTGAGTGCCATACCGATAGCAGTATTGATATTCTGGGATTTGGGATAAAAAAGTTGAAATTTAATAATTTGCCTCTTAATTACAAAACTTTAGGCTCAGCTTCAGGCTGCTTACTGTTTCCCCTTAGGATATACATTTGTTTTAAAAGGGATTTTTCCATTAGTATATGATCAATAATTGGACTTGATGGTGGTGCTATGCAAAAATCTCTGCACTTAGAGCCAGGGAGCTTTGACAGCAATTCCAGCTTTGGATGAGATTTTTATGTGCCATGTCTCAGTAATCAGGCAACTAGCTGCAACATTCCAGGAACTCACAAGAGCCCTCCTCAACAGCCTACAAAATATATGAAGGGACTTCAAAAAGTTCACCAGATATTTGGTCCAGCGATTAAAACCCCAGAATCTCATATTGGAGTACCTGGGTTGGTTTTGTCACTCTCACTCCAGACTCCAGCTTCCTTGCCAGTACAGATCCTGGAAGGTAGCAGGAGATGGCTCAAGTAGTTGGTCCTTTGCCATCCACATGTAGGACCTGGATTGAATTCTGGTTTCTGGTTTCTGGCTTCTGCTGGCCTAGTTCTAGCTGATGCTAAAATTTGGGGAATGAGCCATCAAATGAAATCCCCATTCTCTTTCCTTTCTCTGTCTCTTTGCCTCTTGAATAATAATAAAAAAGGTCCATGGAAAATGGAATTAATTCCATTTTGGTGCAAAATTGTTTGAAATCCATGTACATGACAGATTTTCAAAAAGTTCATGGAAAGTGCATATTGTGAAAATGTATGCATGGATTTCAATTTTTTTTTACCATGATAAACTTAGTTTTTCATTTAGTATTTTCATGAACATTTTGAAATATCCTCCTCCAATAGCTAAGACCTGGAACCAACCCAAATGCCCATCAACAGTAGACTGGATAAAGAAATTATGAGACATGTACTCTATAGAATACTATACAGCAGTCAAAAACAATGAAACCCCGTCATTTGCAACAAGATGGAGGAATCTGGAAAACATTATGCTGAGTGAATTTAGCCAGTCCCAAAGGGACAAATATCATATGTTCTCCCTGATCGGCGACAACTAACTGAGCACCAAAGGGGAAACCTGATGAAGTGAAATGGACACTATGAGAAACAGTGACTTGATCAGCTCTTGTCCTGACTGTTGATGTACAATGTAATACTTTATCCATTTTAGTATTTTTTTTTTGTTCTAGTACTATTGGTTGGACTCTGTAATAAACACACAATTATTCTTAGGTGTTTAAATTTTAACTGAAAAGTGATCCCTGTTAAATATAAGAGTGTGAATAAGAGAGGGAGGAGATGTACAATTTGGGACATGCTCAATCAGACTTGCCCCAAATGGTGGAGTTAGAAATGTGCCAGGCTTTCCAATACAATTCCATCAAGGTGGCATGTACCAATGCCATCTCACTAGTCCAAGTGATCAACTTCAGTTCACAATTGATCACACTGATAGGTCTAAGAGTCAAAGGTATCACACAAACAAGACTAGTGTCTGCTAACTAATGGATAGAATCAAAAAGGGAAAGAATGATCCAACATGGGAAGCGGGATACACAGCAGACTCATAGAATGGCAGATGTCCTAAACAGCACTCTGGCCTCAGAATCAGCCCTTAAGGCATTCGGATATGGCTGAAGAGCCCATGAGAGTATTTTGGGCATTGAAAGCCAAGACACTCTGGGAAAAAAAAAAAAGAAGAAGAAGAAGACCTAAATGAAAGATCTCTGCAAGTGAGATCCCAGTGGAAAGAACGGGGCCATCAAAGAAGGAGGTACCTTTCTCTGAAGGGAGGAGAGAACTTCCACTTTGACTATGCCCTTGTCTTAATAAGATCAAAGTCGGCAAACCCAAAAGGCTTCCATAGCCTTGGCAACTCATGACTAGAGCCTAGGGAGATTACTGATGCCATAAACAAGAGTGTCAAATTGTTAAGTCAACAACAGGAGTCACTGTGTACTTACTTCTCATGTGGGATCTGTCCTTAATGTGTTGTCCAATGTGAAGTAATGCTATAACTAGTACTGAAACAGTATTTTTGCACTTTGTGTTTCTGTGTGGGTGTAAACTGATGAAATCTTTACTGAATATATACTGAATTGCTCTTCTGTATATAAAGATAATTGAAAATGAATCTTGATGTGATTGGAATGGGAGAGGGAGCGGGAGAGGGGAGGGTTGTGGGTGGGAGGGAAATTATGGGGGGGAAGCCAATGTAATCCATAAACTGTACTTTGGAAATTTATATTTACTAAAGAAAAAAAAAAGAAAAAAAAAAGAAATATCCTCCTTCTTTCCTGTTCCAGTCCTGCCCCTTAATTACCTCTATCACGTAACTCTGTTTGTTTCCTTTATGATACTGATCAATATTTTAAAATAATTGGCTCACTTTTTTCCCTGTTTAATTATTATTCTGAATTAGAATATGAGTCCCCATGTGGCAGGTAGCCTATATGTCTAATCTACCTTTATATTCTAAAAAAGCATCTGAAAAGTAATTAATGCCAGTAAGTGTTATCAAATCAATGAATACGTAATTTAAGTCCATCTGGGCATGTTTTAAATATGCCAGAAACATGACATTTGAAGTACAGAAATATGCTTTGAGATAATAGTACTAGGAGATGGTAGTACCAGGTGTAATGGGGGTAAGATGTATGGAAAAGGCATAATATTCACCTGGAAGACTGTCAATGTATAGTTTAATGGAGAGTAAGAGGGAATGGAACTGTAAGCCAATAGACAAATTACAATATGGTTAAAACACTATAAAAGAATTATAGACAAAGGAAGAATGGGATATTCTATGAAATTGAATTCAGATTTCAAGAATAGTTTTAACTTTTGAAAGTTTATTCAAACTAATGACATTTGAGCATGGGCTTGAAAACTAAAGGGAGAAAGCACTGTTTGAGCCAGAAAGGCACAACATTAAATATCCCTGATGATTCTGACAAAAGTGCAGTGGCAATGAGACAGGAAGGTAGTTGCATAGTTGTGATGGACCTTATTCCCAGGGCTAATGAGTTAACAGCTGTTCTTTGGATAATTGTGAATTACCTCATTCTATTTCTGATAGTTCTGAAGAAGCTGCAGAGTTACAGGTTTAGCATACAAAGTAAGCAGGTCATGTGGACTCTGTCCATACTCAGATAGTGCAAATTGATCTTTGGAACGTGTATCCTAGAACTGTGGACATGAGAGATCATTTTAAAGCCAAAGATACTCAGCATTTAGTGGGTGCCCCTTGTTCTGCCCAATAAAAACACGTTTTTAAGGCCTATTTCCAACATATTGGAAAGGGAATTAAATTCCTTCCAACTGACACTGGACAAAGGATGAAACTAAAATTGATCAGAACACATTAAGATTGGTACTCAGATAAGCTGCGCCAATAACTAAAATTCTACCAATTCAATTTTCTCCTGGTAGCAGTGAGGATTTCTTTTCAAGAGATGAACACAGGATGAAATGACATTTTTCAAAAGTATTTTTGAGGAGATTCAGGTATAAAATTGTGAATTGATAGGCAGGCATTTGGCACAGCAGTTAAGGTGGCACTTGGGATACCTGCATGCCGTAATACTGTGCCTGGTTTTGAATCCCAGTTCCAACTTACTGCTAATGTGCGCCCTGTGAGGCAGTAGTGATGTCTCAAGAAGTTGGATCCTTACCACCCACATGGGAGTCTTGAATTGAGTTCCAGGCTCTCTGCCTTGGCTTGACTCAGCCTAAGCTATTGTGGGTACTTGGGGAAGAAATCAACAAATGGGGGAAATATTTCTCTCCCCCCTCCCAGTTTCTGCCTTTCAACAAAAAAGAAATTAATAAAAAAGAAAGGATTAAAAATTGTGAATTGAATTAGGTAATCTCTTAAATGCTTCCCAATATTAAAATTCTGTTTTAATTCCTGTATCATCAAAGTGGATCCAAATAACCTAACAGGTATAAACACCTAGGTGCCAGGTGCTGAAAACAAAAGTGGTAAATATGACAGTCTGCTATTAGAAAGTAGTATTTAAACTCCATCATTCTTGTTCATACATGTAAGTCAGGTGCATGGTTCAACTGCTTGAATTATCCAACCACTTGTAAGATCTCGGTCACTGAGATCACTGCATACAAATCAATTCTGTTTCTCTGTTATTCATTACAGTGGTAGCTCCAAGGTACACAGTAGAACTGGCATGTGGCTTTGGAGCCACGGTCCTGCTAGTGGTGATTCTCATTGTTGTTTATCATGTTTACTGGCTGGAGATGGTCCTATTTTACCGAGCCCATTTTGGAACAGATGAAACCATTTTAGGTAAGTAATGGAAGTTTGATGTAAATCTCTTCTATAGTCATCTTTAGAAAACATGTTCTTTTGAAGAAATCTAGATTAGCTGGAAAATGTAAGCAGATTATCTTTTTAAATTTATTTTTTATTTTTAAGGTGAACAAATTTAATGTATTTCATATATACAGATTTAGGAGCATAGTGATATGGCTCACTCTATCTTCCCTCCCATCCGTACTCTCACCCTCCCTCTTCCTTCCTTTCTTATTCTTTCTTTTAATTTTTACAATGACCTACTTTCAGTCTATTTTATACTCATAAGAGTAATCCTACGCTAAGTAAATAATTCAAGAAATAGTAAGAAAAGAAAAATATTGTTCCTCAACAGTAGTGACAAAGGCTGTAAACAATTATATTATTTCAGGTCTCACCAGTGAAAATCTTCACAATGTGTATTATCGTATTTCCTTTAATAAATATGTGATTCAGCATAGGTTAGCATTGTCCAAATGGAAATATATATATAGCCATATCTGAGATTTAAAATTCTCTTTTGACACACTAGAAAAGGAAAAACAAACAAACAAATGAAAATACTTATTTAACTCCATCTATTCATCATCATATTATTTCAGCATGCAACGAACAATAAAAAGTTAATGAGATACTTAAAAACTTCAAAATTCAGAATATATTACATTTATACTTACAGCATATCTTCCTTCAAACCAGCCACATTTCATGTGCTCAGTAGATACAAGTGGTTTGTGTTGAACAGTGAAAGTCTACACTCTTTGTACTCAAAAGGTGACCCATGGGGCTGGCATTGGCTAAGTGATTAAGTTGCACTTAGGACACCCACACCACGTATCAAACTGTCTGGCTTTGAGTTCTGCCTACGCTTCCATTCCACACAGATTCTTAGGTTCACTCTACAAAGATTGTAATTAAGCAGGATTGTAGGAAAGTCACAGAATCTATATTTTTTTTAACTGGGCAATGATTTATAACTTTGGGAAAATCATCCAGTGAATCTGAGCACATTTTGAGTTTTAGTTATTTTTAGTTATAAGTAATTTTGACAGTTTCAAAAAGTTTTGCTCCATTTATGATTCTAATATATTTATGAGCGATAGACTGAGACAAACAGTAGAGATTTTCTGGGTGGTAATAATTATCAGTGCTTATGATTTATGTCCTAGTTCTTTAATTCAAAGTTGTATGAGCCAAACCTCACCTTTTCTGTAAAACGAAGACTCAATTCAGTGAGATGGGATTAAAAGACACATCAGATCAAACTAAATTGAAAATAGTCATTTTGCCTGGAGATTTGCCAGAAGTGGAAAACTACACTGAAATCTGTGGCATGATTCATATATGTAAAAAAAAAAAAAAGGGCACATCTAATACGCAAAAGTTTCATTTAAGAAAAATGCAATACTATTGAGTTACTTTCCTAATTTATGTTGTATTTTTTCATCTTGTATATGCTAATCCATATTGTATCTGTGTTCTTTCCATAGATGGGAAGGAGTATGATATTTATGTATCCTATGCAAGGAATGCTGAAGAAGAGGAATTTGTTTTACTGACTCTCCGTGGAGTTTTAGAGAATGAATTTGGATATAAGTTGTGCATCTTTGACAGAGACAGCCTTCCTGGGGGAAGTAGGTATTTCAGATGAGTCCAAATGGTGCCTCCTTAAAAAGCAAAGGAGATCAGCCTTGATCTATGTGGGAGAGTCTTAGCTTTCTATTGGCAACTTTATATATTTAATGTCCAACTCTTTGAAGTAACAGACTTCTCTAGGAGCAAAAGTGCAATGTAAGATGTACAGTATTCAACTCAGTTTAAGGTGCTCAAATATTTGCCTTTCTTGGTAGTCCTCAAGATTACCAAGTCCAAAATTTATATATGTACAGTGGATTTGAGCTCTATTAAAGCCATACCTTTAAACATCCCATTTACTCACACTTAGATTTTTAGGTTTAGACTGGCCTGAATTGGTTTGCCTACAGTTTTATAAAGACTTAATATTTAAAAACATTATTATTATTATTATTATTATTTACAGAAAATGAGGTTTAACTTAGTTTCTCTAAAGTTGAGTTGCAACTGAGAGTGTGTGGAATTTTCCATTATATTACTCTCTGGTAATAACTAGAGTATTCTGTTGCCTTTTGTCCTTTGCTTATTTCCTTTTCCTTTCTTTCATTTACTGGCAAGCTATCCTTCCTCAGATTCCACTTTCTTTGTGTCCATTTCTTCCTCTCTGTTAGCTTATACTTTTGAGATATAATTGAAAATTTTACGAAGACCAGGGTATTCTAGTGGTTAAAAAAATGAAACCTGAAATGCTGAATGTTTTAAAATCATAGCACATCTCTTCTTTTTGGGTTCACACATAAACACACAAAATAATGGTCCATTTCAGTCTTTTTTTTTTACTAATTTCTTTTTAAAATTTTTTAACAAAGAAATCTTTTAGTTAATGAGTACAAATTTCATAAGTACAACTTTAGGAATATAGTAACTCTTCCTACCATACCCACCTTCCCACCCCCACTCCTATCCACCTCTTCCTCCCTCTCCTATTCCCAGTCTCATTCTCCATTAGGATTCATTTTCAATTAACTTTATATGCAGAAGACTAACTCTATACTAAGTAAAGATTTCAACAGTTTGCACACCCATGCACAAAAAAAAAACCCTGAGAACAAGTTTTACAATTAATTCTCATAATATAACTCATTAAAGACTGAAGTCCTACACGGGAAGTAAGTGTACAGTGGTATACAGTTATTCCTGTTGTAAATTTAACAGTTAACACTCTTATGTATGATGTCAATGATCACCCAAGGCTCTTGACATGAGCTGCCAAGGCTATGGAATCCTTTTGAATCCACAGTCTCCATCATATTTAGATAACTCCATAAGCAAAGTGGACATTCTATCCTCCCTTCAGAGGAAAGTACATCATTCTTTTTTGATGGCCACTTCTTTCCACTGGGGTCTCTCACACAGAGACCCTTCATGTCAGACATTTTTGCCACAGTATCTTGGCTTTGCATGCCTGAAATGCTCTCATGGGCATTCCAGCCAGACCAGAATGCCTTAAGGGCTGTTTCTGAGGTCAGAATGCTGTTTAAAGAGATTGTCATCCTATGAGTCTGCTTTATGGACTGCTTCCCATGTTGGACCATTCTCTCCTTTTCAATTCTTTTAATAAAACACATCAGTAACATCTCTATACCTACTATTAAACCCTTCACTGTTGAAATATATATATGTTTAACCTTAAGAATGACAAACTAATCTTCTTCGCTTAAAATCCTGTTTACCTTAATCACCTGTTTATCATTTAAAAAAATCCATGAATAATTGAGATACAAAATAGACAAGATTTTATGTTCAGTTTTAATTAGTTTGATCACTTTATAATCATAGCCATCCAAAAGTCCATAATGCTTATTTTCTACAGATGATACCTTGCTCAGTATAAATTTGCTAGGCAATGATGACTTAACTATAGAGGTAAAGGACGAATCACACTCAAATCTCCTGAGTATTTTTTGTCCATTATTAATTCATACAGCCATTCAACATATACTACTGTGGAAAAAGTTGTGTAAATATACATAGTATATACGTAGCTAGAATCCTCCAATATGAGTGAAAAATCCTCTGAAGAGGTCAAGTTCTACATGATTACCCTTGCGTTTTTCTTTGGATAGCTGGCCCTTGTATTCTTTTGTGTTCTTCCATCTTCTCTTAATCCTCTTTGCCTCTGGATCTCTTGCTATGCTTACACGTGGTCAGCTTCCTGTGACACTTCTTGTAGAATACAAATCCTTATTCCTAGATTCTCCTCCAGGCAGCCCATTCTAGGATTTAATTGCAAGTGCTTCCCTACAGCTTCTATACCTGTGAAGCATAAGACTGGTATGGCAAGCCGTGGTATAGATTTTCCACAACTCCAGTGCATTACCTGAAGCTGGTAACTCTGAGCCCCAGGTAGAAGATTATACAATCTTCAATATGCAACTGTGAGGAGATGGATTGGCATCAAGAATATAGTGACAGGAATTAATTAAAGCTCTTGACATTAGAATAAAATTACACCATGTTTCCATTTTCCCTGCTTTTTCTTCTTTTTACTTGCAGAAAGCATTTGCTTATTTGCAAAAGCAGACACATCAGCTTGCAGCTGCCTAGATGCATGCTTCCATAGTATTCATAGAATTTTAGAGAGAGGTTCAGAGGTAATTTGGGCTTTAGAGCAGAAAGAGAAAACTGAGTTGAGAATGTTTTGCTAACCAAATGCCATCCAATGCCTGGACTTTTTAAAGATACTGTTCCAATGACATAGTGACATCAGTTTGATTTAGGGAAGAGTCCAAGAACAGAAAGGGACTTTCAAAAAATAAAGATTTCTATCACTATTGTCCTGTGTTGCCAAAAATGGAGTATTGTGACTTCTAATGAATATCTTTTTATGCATTTTTGGAAATAGTTTATATATGAGTAACCTTGGGCAGAAAGGACTCAAAAGCTGGTTTGGCTGGGCCATAACATACCACATAGTTCGAAGAAACTGACTTGAGTCCAACACATCTCTTCTTCATATTTCAAATAATGCTTTTGAAGATGAATTTCATGCAATATAACACATTTTCGCTGTTTGTCTGTTGGGATTCTTTCTGGGGTGGAATGCAAGTGAATACTTCCATTTTCCCCAAGAAGAGTTGTGTTTAGTGAGAGCATGATTGTATCTAAGCATTAAGTTGTTCAAATTGTTGCTGGTAAAAAGATACACCTCTATTCTCAGGCTGTTACCCTAATTCCCTACATTTGCTCCTCAAACCCCATGCTCTTGGGGAGTTCTTGGCCAACACTAATTTCCATGGTGTTTTCTTTCTCAGTTGTCACAGATGAGACCTTGAGCTTCATTCAGAAAAGCAGACGACTCCTGGTTGTCCTAAGCCCCAACTACGTGCTCCAGGGAACCCAAGCCCTCCTGGAGCTCAAGGCTGGCCTAGAAAATATGGCCTCTCGGGGCAACATCAACGTCATTTTAGTACAGTACAAAGCTGTGAAGGAGACGAAGGTGAAAGAGCTGAAGAGGGCTAAGACGGTGCTCACGGTCATTAAATGGAAGGGGGAGAAATCCAAATATCCACAGGGCAGGTTCTGGAAGCAGCTACAGGTGGCCATGCCAGTGAAGAAAAGTCCCAGGCGGTGTAGCAGTGATGAGCAGGGTCTTTCCTATTCATCCTTGAAAAACGTATGAAAGGGGACAAAGGACAAAGTGTACTCCAGGAAGGAAGAATCACTCTTCATTCCCAGTTTGTGGTTGCATAGGCAGAAAAAAATTCTGTCTAAGCTTTTCCATAGGGATCAATTCAGGATGCTATGGACAGGGCTGGCTGTTCTGCTTCTCAGGCAATACTAAAGTTTAGAATATGTTGTCAATAGCCTGTCACCAGACTTTGAGATCATCATGTTCTTTGCAGGCAAAGACTTGGTTGATGTGGATTTCCCCTTTTGCATCCTCTGTCTGTATTCGTGTATTTCCCTACTTCAAAAAAAAAATCTTAATATTATGAATCAGCCTTACCCATGGATTTAAATATAGATCCCTTTAAGATATGACATTGTTGAACAGGGGCATTATGAGTTTCCAAGTATTTCTTTTTCTTTTATTTTTACTTGTTCATTAACAAGAAAATCAGGGCTTGCATTTATTTGAGCTTAGCAGAATGAACAAACGCACTGGCTCATTCAGTTGCACAGTACACCCCCACACCATCACCCATTTAGAATGGGATAAAGCAGTGTAACTGAAAATGCTTCTTATAATTGACTTGAAAAGTGTGCTGCATTTTTGCCCACTGTATCACCTTTACCCTCATCTCAGGTAATTGACATCATATTTGTAAATTTGAAAAATACATCATGATTATTGTTTTATTATAGTAAATTCCTGATTGTCTTCAGATCAATCTATATTTATCATTCCATCTCCCTATTTACTTGTATCAGTTATTCAAAGTGTGCAGATCCAATGAGAAAAAAAAAACAGATTTTGCAGGTGACTCCATATTTGATTCATTCTGAAAGAAAGCTTCTTCTAATGGTGGTAATGGAGAGTGATATAACAGCAGAATGCTTTCAGAAATTATTTTGTCCTGTGGAAATACACGTTACAGGGTGTTTGGTGATTTGCCTTTTAATCCTAGCCTTTCTAATGTGAATATTAGGAAACTGGCCCCTCCTCACTTGTTTTTGCCTCTTCCTTGTAAAGTGTGGAGGTTAGACTTAGCAACCTTGAGTATTGCTTTTAGCATTACCAGTCTCAGAGAATTAGTTATATTTCCCATAATTTATGTACCAGTATAGGTCAAACATTGCCCCAGTTAAATCAGTCTGAAAAGTCATTCTCCATGAAACTTGTTTTTGTTTAAGTAAAATTTTATTGTTTGCAAGACTTGGAAAAGTTAAAGCTAAGTGCAAAGATTACAGAGTGGTAAATATATGTTACATGTAGATTTTATATATATATACATGTATATATGTGTATATATCCACACATATGAAACTTCTATACATTTGTGTGGATATGCGTATATAAAGTGTGCACATATGTGTGCATATATATGAGTATATG